GTCCTGCATATCCACTTGAATGTATAAACAAAAATTCATATAATTCGTTCAGCTGTTTAGGATAAATAACCTAAACATCGACTGCAGCGCCATCTGCCGAGCTGATTTGTGAATCTAAACCATTCCCAGATCCCCTTGAACACACACAAAATTTTTTATCAAAATCGGTCCAGTCGTTTGAGAGAAGTTCAGTGACATACACACTCACAGAAGAATGGGGTAGACGACTAATTTTTATTTTAATGTCCGTCTGGTAGATTATTTAAAAACATTAGACACGTATTTTTTATTTTCTTACGGAAACGAATAGTTTCGAAGATATATTGATTTGAAATGTCGCGTGACGTCACTTCTCAGTACATTTTATACTGAGAAATGACGTTTTAGCCCCCACTCCTAAACTTTGATTCGTTTTATCTAAGTATTGTTTTATTATACGACAAAATAAAAAAATACGTGTCCTATATTTTTTAATTACCTAACTTACGGACTAATTAGATTTTTAATTTTCATACCCTGTCATCATCCCCATTATATATATAAAGATATATTAAATATTTCTTTTGTTTTGACTACCTATGATTCATAACTTTAATATGATTGCTAATTCAAAGAGCTTAGCGATAAGCTTAAGCTGTGCCTTAAATCTTATTGATAATAATGCCTAAATGCTAAATATAGTTTACTACTTAGAATATGAATAATTTAAATACACATGAATCATTAAGTTGACAAAAATAGAGTTTATCTCATGTGTTATTATTAAGTCTAATAAAATATCTCTTTAACTTTAAACTGTCAAACACGGCGGGAACACCGGTGACCGCAACCTATTGTTCTTTAATTGTGTCTAAAATGACGGTACTCAAAGGGTTAATTTAATATTATATAAGATTTACTAAACTTAGAGACATTTTTCTACCTTATTCCTGTTGGTTATTTAGCTAAAAATATTATGTTTGCATTTATTTACACAATACAGGTAATTACAGTCATCTATACATTTATTTATTTACATTTACAACAATATACACTTTTTTTTCAAGGGTGGAAAATCATCCAATGTCTTCTCCCGCCTGGGTGAGGCGGGAGCGAGTGTCAGACTCTTACTTACTAAAAACCACCCCGTTCCTTCTCCTGCACTTCGAGCCGGAGCCCCGGTAACCCGTTAAGTCCTCCGCGGTTCAGTATCGGCATCAGCCCTAATAGGCCTCATCTGTGGAGCTTTGGGACACAAGGTACAATATCTTCTAGAGATGTGCTGTAACAGGCGTTGCACCGTGGGGGCTCCGGTCTCTTCAGAGGACCCTTACAGGTGCTGAGAGTGGCAAGCGGGGGATTTTAGTGAGGTACGAATCCCACACTCCTTAATCTTTCTCCCTAAAAAGCAAGTCGCCGTTTAACGGTTTCCCTCCGTCATCAAAAAAAATTTACAATATCTTATGTGATAGCATTCCAATTTCAATCTATTTAGTGTGGGAGGGAGCTTCAAAGGACGCCTATTGTAATCCTTCTTACAGCCTTTCAATTAGAATCTACCCCCCACAAAACATAGTCTTGACAACACATATGTAATGATAGTTTTATCTCTCCATTACTGATGAAATACCTACGTAATATAGTAAAATATTGTGCAGGAATGTTGGTTAGAAGCATGAGCTGAAATATTGGCGCCGACGTCACTCGTAAATTGAGGGTAGATTGAAAATATGGTATAGTTTTCAACTACATAGTGAAATTCAATATTTTTTTTCGTCATATCAAAAACGATATTTTTTTATGAATTTTGTATGAGACTGTAATTTTTATTTTAAAGTCCGTCTGGTAGATTATTTAAAAACATTAAGAAACGTATTTTTAATTTTCTTACAGAAACAAATACTTTGACGATATATTGGCTTGAAATATCGCGTGACGTCACTTTCGTGTACGTTTTATACTCGTAAATGACGTAGCTAACTCCCACTCACTCCTAAGCTTTGATTCGTTTTATCTAAGTATTGTTTTCTTATATGATTAAATAAAAAAATATGTGTATAATATTTTTTCATTACCTAACTTTTTTTATGGCATAAGCCGGTAAAGGAGCAGACGGATAACCTGGTGGTATGGAATAACACATAGGCTAATTTTATCCCACTTGCAAACCATGTTATGATACCTTCTTATGAGGGACTGGGCCTTACATCGTGTATGTACAGTCAATAATTGAGGGTATCATCAGTATAAAGAGGTAAAAAAACAGTTACCCTCATGCCACATAGAGTAAGGGTGGAACGGCAAAAAATTAAGAGTAGGAGAAAGAAAAACTAGGAAGAAAATGTCGAAAAATTGTTTTTTTTGCACCTCCCCCGTCCTTGTCACAGCTAGTCACATTTGTGACACTCCTCCCACTAGTGTGACGTCACATTTTGCAGAATTACAGTATAGAAAGTATTGTTATTTTTATTTCCACTTAAATTACTTTAAAAATATTAATGTCAAATCAATTAACAAAACATTAATACAATTATATTTTGTATTTTAACGCAGATTATCTAAGTGTACATGAACACTTTGGAAAATAATTTAGTATATTAATTAACCGACGAGTAGGTTTTCGAGTCAGTTTTTTTAAACATAGTTCATAAAAGAATTATTTTCTTTATAATAATTATTTTTCTGAAGGAGTACACATAACATAAGCCACTTTTTCAATATACTAATGGAATCGGATATATTAAAGAAAAAATATCAAAACTCCATGGAGGGTAGAAAGGTAATTTGAAAAAAACTAAATCTTATCACTTTTAGTAACTGGATTCTAATTGGAAATTGTAAGTTGGTCAATTAGGTATCCTGATTATGAGATTCTAATAAGAATTTGACAAGGAAGTGAATGAATTATATCACATTTCTAGATCAATGTAACTAACAAGAAATAAGGAGTCCGTCAGTTTTAATATAAATATTTCCGATCACACAGCAAATCTATATTATCATTTTCTTGACAAGCGTTTTTCATTTCATTTTCCAATAAAACATACACAAAATAGTTTTACACCAATACTACCAAGTTTAAAATGAATATAAAAAATTTGAAATCTCCACCCAAAAGGTGTATGTAAGAATCGTAGCAATTGCTGCATAATCTCTCCCATACTACATAGCCCCATGGGAGACAGGCATGAGTTTATGTATGTATGTGTAAAACATTCAATAAGCAAGGTACTTGCAATGCAAGTACTTATTATAAACCGCTTTCTAAGTACATATTAAGTGGAAAATGTCAGAGAAAGTTACACTTCTTATTGGAATCCCTTTAGGTATCTCATTAAAGTCAATGTTGACATAACAAAACATTTTTACACCTTTTTATCACAAAAGGAGGTAGCAGTGCACTTTTCATCAGTGAAGTTACAATTTTTAAGTTTATAATCTATGTTTTTAATATTATTTTCTTGATATGGGAAGATCTAATTAGATTCTTATTTTAATGTATTAAATATTATAAAAACAAGAGGGTTTTGATTTGTTAAAAGTTTCTATACAATAAATTTATAAATATAGTATTTAATAGAAATCATTTAAGTAATAAAATCAATGTATTTATAAATAAACACGACTTGAGACTGTAAACCGCACAGTATTGACTTGCAGTATTCAAATAACATACTAACCTACTTTCGCATACATTTTCGCAGAAAACAACGAGAAAAAGTATCTTAAAATGCCAATTTATGTTAAAATATTAAAGAAACTATATCGCACTACTATTTACGTAAAAATAATAAAATAAAAACCGTTATTTTTAAGGAAAACTATACGACCTATTCCGCAAAAGTGTAACGGCAGTTTCACATCGATTTAAACGAATTCTAAATTACCTACTGAATACTATCATCGTGCCGCAATCAGTGATGAGTGCGACCATCGTCTTACTATCGGATTTAAGCCATCAATTCATATAAATCAGCATTAAAATACAGATAGCTAGATAAGGATACCCACAACAACTTTCGTGTTTAAACAAACAAAATCAATGAAGTAATACTCACCGGTATGCGTCGGCGCGGGGCACACAGGTATAGAAACACAATTAATCACTGATAAGTAATCAGAAGATTAATAATTCAACGATACAACGACCGACCGACTAGCCGATGTCACCACGATTGACGTTCGCAGCGCGGCCATTTCCCGATTAAGTTTAGAAACGAGTTTTGCACCAATAAGCCGGTTTTGTTTCGACAACACCTATTTATTTTCTGTTATTTCAACTTTAAGCTATGGAAATATATGCGAAACCACAAACTATGTGTATATTTTAATACTATGGCAGTTCTTATACGATACTTATTGAATAAATTCTCAAAGAAACAAGACCACATTTTTTTATTACTCTTCTCTATTTCTGAACGAATCATATATACGTTTAATTATCAAGTTTAATTACTACAACAATGACGATAAAATGAAATAAATACCAAACAAACACAATCGTCACTTGATGGTAGAGCAAATATTAATTATTTCATGCCATTTGAAGAACATTTCATCTGTATATATTCGCATATTTCATCAAAAACTTTAGGTGACTCAATAACAGTGTGTAATGTTTTCATTTATTGAAAAAACAAAACGTACGTTCTTGCGGAAAAATCATTGTGCCGTCCAATTTATCAGATTCGCAATTTCAAGCATCCAAAAACATAGGCAGAGAAAGAGATAGATAGATAGATAGCAGTCTTATGGCTCTTATAGTAAGTGTGAATGAAACAAAGAAATCAAAGACTGAAACCAGTGATCAAAATTGATTACTACTGCGATGGAACGCGTACTTCCTATCATTTCAGTGTACAGATAATTATTTATATTTTATTTCCTCAACAAAATAAATAGAAATGTAAAGTAATCATGTCCTCGAATACCAATTATTATTGAGTTAATAAGTTAATTTATTAGTTTATGCTAGAAAATAGATGTTAAACAAGTACTAAAGTGGTGAAAATATAATTTAAATGATGGATGTTGATGCAACAAGTCTTGAACAACTAGATGTTGCTTTTAAACTTGATGTAGTCAATATTATTGACTCCTGTAGGATTTGTATGACTCAGACGTTGAATATGAGCAGTATATTTGACACTGCCAAAGAAAATATCGTCGATGAAATACTTTTTTGCACAGGAATCACCGTAAGTATTTATCAAAGTTAATTGTAATTTCCACTATTTTTTTGCTTTTAAACTATAGTGATAGACTATTGTTGTGTAATGAGCACAAGTCTAACTTCTAATCTACTTCAAAAACAAACTCCAATAAGATCTGACCTCCAAATTCAGATAGAACAAAAAATAAATAACACAAACATTCAATGTATGCAGTAGTAATACTTAATAATTATCAGCCAAATACGTAGGGATAGTGGTATCCATATAATATTTATTTATATATTCATGCTTCATGCACATAAAGCGGACTTAATACCGCAGGCATTTTCTCCCAGTCTGGCCTTTGGGTGATGCAGAGAAGAGTGAATGGTAGGTGCAAGAAGCAAGCAAGTAATATACCTAATCATTTTTAATATTCTATTTTGTTTTAGTTCCTAATTTCCAATTTATCTACATATACTAAACTGTCAAAGTGGTCTCCGGTGACCGCAACCTATTGTTCTTTAATTGTCTCTATAATGACGGTACTTGACGAGTTAATAGCCTAATGAAACAAGCATGTTCCATTTAAGCTTAGAACAATAACTGAATATCAGGGTATTTTGAAGAATACTTTTTAAGTTTATTTAACTCTTTGCATGACTGGTTTTTACAAACCAGCTGCGCTAAGACACTCAATGTGTTAAGTTCCCATAACATATTTTGAGTATTTAAATATGTACATAAAAATAAAAAAAATATATATATTAAAACCTCCTCTAAGTGTAACAAACACCTTACTGAAAATCCCATCAAAATCACATACATATCGGTTAAACAGAGAATGCCCATATTTTTCTTTTTGAATTCGTTTAAGACTTTGACTGCCAATAAAAACTGTTGAAGGTAAATCCTCCGCTAACGCCGGTCACCGGTGATCACCATGGCATGGAACATGTTAAAAATATAAAACAACCACTCTAACCAACCACCTTCAATATACTTCCAGATCAAAGAAGATGCAGGTCTACCGTCACAAATATGTGATGTATGCCGCAATAATCTATCCATAGCATACAAATTCAAAACCACCTGTCTACTAGCAGATGAAACATACCGGAAACTGGTACCAAAAATTAAGGATGAAGTGCCAGAATCAGGCGTAACCAATTCAGCTTATGCACGGTTAACGCTTAAAGATGAAATCCAGGATGATGTAGACAGTGAAGGTTTGGAGTATGTGAAAACAGAGAGTGATGTAGACGGTGCAGACGATGTGAAAACCAATGCTGAAGGGCGTAATAAAGAATTTGAGGATGTGAAAATAGAGAATGAGTTGGAAATTGTGGATGGAGTTTTAAGAAAAAGTAGTTCAATCAAGGTAAAAGCTAGGTAAGCGATTGTTTTTGAACTTTAAAGATAAATATACTTTATTTGCTAGTATGGGTAATACAATAACATTTGGTGTTTAGTTAGGTACATTTCACATCATCATTACATCGTCGTGTGAGTGAGGTTACCGGAGGCCCAATTACCCTAGTCCCCATCTCCCGAACCCCCGAATCGCCCACAATCCTCAAATTCCCAATTCCCAAAAGGCCGGTAACGCACTTGTAACGCCTTGGTGTTTCGAGTGTCCATGGGCGGCGCCGATTGCTTACCATCAGGTGATCCGTCTGCTAGTTTACCGGCTTACGCTATAAAAAAAAAATTACATGCTCAGTCATATTTTACCAGGAGGCATGCAAATATGATTTTTGTTTTTATTTTTGCAACTTAACTATCTGTGTCAACACAATAAGCTATTCAGATGGGGTGTCTTGATTTCTGTATCGTCAGCAGCAGGAGAAATTCGCGGGTAGGTTCACAGTGAGTACAGACAGGCACATAAATTCTTTTATTTACTTGTAATTTACAGTTTTATTGGTTAATTTTAAGTAATTTGGTAATAGAACTCCATTGAATAAAAATATCATCAAATCAACCGCAAGGTTGCTTTGACCAAAAGTCCGCAACTTTGGTGTATTTCCCCATGAAAATAAATGGATAATAATAATAATTTTAATTATCACTTGATGTGCAAGTTTAATAGTTTCGAACCACAAAGAGGTTCTTCCTCACGAGCAGCGCGGTCACGGCGATATCGCGCAGCCTACTGATGAGAAATGAGGAAGAACCCCTCTGTGGTTCGAAACTAGGAAAGCTTTTCTCACTATATTCACGTGAGTAACCCACTATTTTTAGTTGAATCAAAATATTAGTTCATTCCGTTTTCGATTTTAGAAAATTACCTATTGTCTTATGTATTCCTATTATTTTCCTTTAAATAATTTTTCGTTTCTTCCGTCCGTGCGTCACTGCAGGGGTGCCAACTGAAAACCAGTGTTGGGTACTTACTGTGCCCAGTTTACACTGAGTTGGCGGGCCCTTTCGTCGTGGACATGCTGCCACCCTGTTTCTTTTATTTTGCTTTTTTATAATGTTTTTTTTGCCTTCATTGTTGTTTTTTTTGTTATTTTATGTTTTTATATTGTTTTCTTTTTTATTTTTGTTTTTCAATGTTTATTTTGTGTGTTAATTTTCGATGGTCCATGTCTGGCAAATAAATTATTTTTCTTTCTTTCTTTCTTCTATTCAATAATTATTTGGTAACTGCATTCATTTTTATACTACCCTGAAATTGCTTGACATATTAATTCTTACAAAAAATATAAGGTATTCTTAATGGTGTTTTTGTAATTGAAATGGATCCATGTTTGACCATTAACTCTTCTCTCTCCACTACTACTACTAGAGATCTGTGTCTTGTCAGTGTCCTGCGATGGAATAGGCCTGCTCATAAGCAGCCTACTTACAAGCTTTGAAGACACGTAAATTATAGCCTTCAGGAAACACAGACTCTTCTCACAGAATTCCACACCTTACTGTGTCTATGTTTGGTTGAATTCTATGAATGTTTTTTTATCGAATAAGCCGGTAAACGAGCAGAGGATCATCTGATGGTACGCATGAACACCTGGTACACCAGAGGCGTTATAAGTGCGTTACCAGCCTTTTAGGGATTAGGAGTTTGAGGATTGTTGGGGATTAACCTCACTCACATATGTGTATGTGAACTTGTATGTTTGTAAACGCACCCACGACACAGGAGAAAATCCTAATTCCAACGTTTTTTTCTAAAGCAAACAAACAAACATAACGAAACACAACGCAAGCGTTGTTCCACGTCGATTTTCTGCTCGGTCGAGGTATCACTCCGGTCGAGCCGGTCCAAGCATGGCTCTCCCACACTTTAATGTACAGGTGTGTTGTACTTACAAACTAATTTCCTAATTCATATTCAGAGGACGTCCAAGGAAGGCGACTGGGGCTAACGCTAAGCAGAGACCCTTGAGGAAGTTCAAATTCCGAAGGTTATGCTGTGAAGCATGTAATCTCAAGTTTGATACAAAGGAACAGAGCAATGATCATAAGAGACAAGCCCATAAGGATATGTGGATTTGTGAGGTGAGCGAGTTTCCTTATTTTTGGGAGATAGGGCGGCAATCTCGCAGACGCGTCACCTGACGGTTAGCAATTGGGATGATGACAGGGTATGAAAATTAAAAATATAATTAGTCCGTAAGTTAGGTAATGAAAAAATATAAGACACGTATTTTTTTATTTTGTCGTATAATAAAACAATACTTATATAAAACCAATCAAAGTTTAGGAGTGGGGGCTAAAACGTCATTTCTACGTATAAAATGTACATAGAAGTGACGTCACGCGACATTTCAAATCAATATATCGTCGAAATTATTCGTTTCTGTAAGAAAATAAAAATACGTGTCTAATGATTTAAAATAATCTACCAGACGGACATTGAAATAAAAATTAGGCATCTACCCTATTGAGCATTTACCAACTAGTCAAATTCAATACTTTAATCGAACTGTCAAAAACGACAGTTTTCTATGAATTTTGTACGAGATTGTGTATTGTGACGTCACATTTTGTTAGCGTCAAACAGCATACTTATTTCTTAAAAATTTGCTGGCAAAATACTAAAATTAAGTTGGTCATAAAATCAATTAATGAAATTGTGATTATTTTTTAATATTTTATTGTATTGAACAGTCGAAATAATTTATTTTTGATTAAGGAAAGTACCCAATGGCTCTGCACATGGACCGTTGCCGACCTTTTAGGGGTATTGTTTTTATATTTGACTAGATTTTACCCGCGGCTTCGCTCGCGTCACAAAAGGATAAAAGTAGCCTATGTGACATATACCATTACACACAGCGCCATCTATACCAATTCTTTTGTTTTCCCTCGAAAATATCAAAATTTTCCGTGATAAAAAGTACCCTATTATTTAATCCGGACTTCTAACTTTATGTCTGCAAATATTCAAAGCAATCGGTTTAGAAGTTACGGCGTGAAAGCGGAACAAACAAATAAACAAAGAAACAAACTTATTTTCCCATTTATATTAGTAAGGATAGGCCGATGTTTGGTCACTATCTCGCCTGGTGGTAAGCGATGATGCGTTACATAAGTACAAACGTACTTTTTTTAAAAGAGCATCGAATGGAGTTTCTTTCTCGTTCTTGCTGCAATGAGCGTATGTATCACCTGATGGTAAGCAATCGGCGTCGCCCATGGACACCTGGAACACTAGAGGCGTTACAAGTGCGTTACCGGCCTCTTAGAAAGAAAGGAAAGAGGGGGAGGGCGTTAATTGGTCCTCCGGTAACCTCACTCACAAGACGAAACACAACGCAAGCGTTTTTTCACGTCGTCGGTTTTCTGTGAGGCACATGAGGACATGTGTTGTGTTTGGATACCGCAACGATATAAGTCAGAAGATATTTATTTTCAAAGTCAAAGTCAAAGCATTTATTTCAATTAAACCATAATTTGCTACTTTTGAAACGTCAACAAATACAACATCAATAATAGTCTGTCAGTCAGTCCGTCAGTGAAGCTAGGTGCTCATTCCAAAAGAAGAACGAGCAAGAAACTCCATATTCTTAATAAAATGTATATTCTTTTCAATTTAATAGAAATCTCAGTAGTAGCGCGGCGTCTGGAAATGTGCCCGGTATATGGCAATAGGTTCATCCCTTATTACATGGGACTCATAAACATAAACATAAATAGTGAAAAGTGGGTGTTACTTCTATGTGCACCTCTGCCTACCCCTTCGGGGATTAAAGGCGTGATGTTATGTTATGTTATGTTCTTTTCAAGGTATGCGGTAAAAGTTTTATCCACCGAGCGTCCCACTACACCCATGTAAAGTCCCATCAGCCTCCGAACTATGGGTGCGACCAATGCGACTATAAAACATGGCATAAATCTGATCTCGTCAAACATGTCAGGATACATGCTGGTAAGTTAAAGTCAAAGTCAAAGTCAAAATCATTTATTTCAATTAGACCAGGAAGGCACTTTTAAACGTCAAAACAAAATATTTTAATATTAAATAATAAGAAAAAATGGCAGTCGTCTAGTGAAGCTATTTCCTCGTTCCAAAGTGTAGATTCCTATGGAGAAGAACGAGCAAGAAACTTCATAGGTTACTCTTTTTCAATCAGGTTCACAATACATTTGGTTACATTCTTTCGTTGAGTTCAATTATGTGAGGACAATGTAATAACAAAGATTGAGTACCTTTTTTTTGAGGGAGTAAAATCATCCAATGACTTCTCCCGCCTGGATGAGGCGAGAGGGACTGTTAGACTCTTATTGACTAAAAACCACCCCGTTCCTTCTCCTGCACGTCGAGCCGGAGCCCCGGCAACCCGTTGGGTTATCCGCGGCCCCGTATAGGCATCAACCCTATTGGGAAGACATGGATGACCGAGCGTAGCCTGTTTTTTTTGTAAACGATATTTTTTGAAAATGAACCTTATTATATAGATACTTGGCAGGCCACAACTGTGCGCTTTTCTCGGAACTTTCTGCGTCGCACAGCAAAACTGTGGAATGATCTGTCGTCGGCGGTATTTCCGAACCGATACGACCTTCAAACCTTCAAGAAAAGAGCGATTTCCTTTTTAAAAGGCCGGCAACGCACCTGTGACTCCTCTGTTGCGGGTTACCATGGGCGGCCCTGATCGCTTACGATCAGGTGATCCGTCTGCTCGTCTGCACCCTATTTCATAAAAATAGCTATATCGATTCATCGCCCTCAAAACCCCCTAATTAAATGCCAACAAGAAAATCGTTGGGAGTCGTTTTCGAGATCGGTGATAAGTATATAAAAGGATGTTAAAAGAAAGGCGGATACAGTCTATTGAAACGACGGCTGTGCCACCTGCAGCTGTAGTCATATGCCATTTAGCGCTTGTCTACATGTAGAACAGAAAACCAAATAACATATATGGAATTACATATATAACAGAGTATGAAAATTAAAAATCTAATTAGTCCGTCAGTTAGGTAATGAAAAAATATTTTCTTTATCTTTTTTAAAAAAACGTTGCCCCACTCTAGGATTTTCTCCTGTGTCATGGGTGCGTTTACAACATACACAATGACACCCAGACCCGATTATTAGTCACGTATTTTTTTATTTTGCTGTATAATAAAATGATACTCAGATAAAACGAATCAAAGTTTAGGAGTGGTGGCTAAAACGTCATTTCTACATATAAAATGTACATAGAAGTGACGTCACGCGACATTTCAAATCAATATATCGTCGAAAGTATTCGTTTCTGTAAAAAAATAAAAAAATCGTGTGTAATATTTAAAAATAATCTACCAGACGGACATGTGGGTGGTACATTATACAGTAGCATTCGTTTCTGTAAAAAAATAAAAAATACGTGTCTAGTTTTAAAATAATCTACCAGACGGATATTAAAATAAAAATTAGCCATCTATTGACGTAAATTTTGACATTTGTCAGTGTCATGGGATACATTTAGTTTCCTACTCTCTCTGTAGATAGTCAAGCGCTAAAGTGACGTTTGGCTAAAGGCACTGGTTACTATAGACTTACACGCAGAACATAAACACATTGACACGAAGGACATCAGACATTTTCTTAAGTCTGGTGACTTGGTAACCCATGCCGATTCGGAGTCGCGGAGAACCTAACGGGTAACCGGGGCTCCGGCTCGACGTGCAGGAGAAGGAACGGGATGGTTTTTAGTCAGTAAGAGTCTGACACTCCCTTCCGCCTCACCCAGGCGGGAGCAGTCATTCGATGATTTTCCCACCTTAAAAAAAAACTAATAAAAAAACCCATTACACACGCATGATAAAAAACATTTATTTTACTGTTCCAGGTCTAAAACTATACCAATGTGAGTACTGCAGTACATCCTACTACACGTCGTCGAACCTGACCAGCCATATCAGACGACTACACATGAAAGAGAGACTGTATAATTGTAGCATATGTAAACGCACCTTCTTCGATAAGACCAAACTGAACAGACATCTGGATTCACATTTTGATATTAAAAGGTGAGGTTTGAGTAGACTGGTCTACTGAGAAGACGGTCTTTAATAGGTGTTAGGATAGTTATTTTAAGACTTAAAAACGCGAGATTTAAGTGAGCAGTAGACCAAGTAGACGGTCTTTTTACAGAAGACTAAGTTGAGTAAGGCTTGCTTTTTGCGTATGACATAGATAGCAGACGGTTTTCAATGGAAAGACCGAGTGTAATAATTGAATGCTCATTTTAAGATCACCAGTTGAGTTTTAAAGTTTTAAGTAGACAGACGGTCTGTTTTGGGAAGACCAAATTAGGACATGTAGATTTTGACAGCCTTTTATCGAAAATTGTTAAATTAAAGGAGTATTGACTGGTTTAATAAATCGTTATTATACCAGTACTCGTTATGATGTTTTACAGACATTAGAAAAGGCGGGAGTTAGAAAAAAAAGATACAAGCAGCCAAGCGTGATTTGGCGTCATAAGGCGCGAAATTCAAAATACATTTTATTTTTTATTTTATACTAGCTTTTATCCGCGGCTTTGCTCGCGTCACAAAACGATAAAAAGCCAATGTGACATATAACAATACACACAGCGCCATCTATACCAATACTTTTGTTTTCCTTCGTAAATATTAATTTTTTCAGGTATAAAAAGTACCCTATTATTCAATCCGGACTTCTAACTTTACGTCTGCAAAATTTCAAAGCAATTGGTTAAGAAGTTACGGCGTTAAAGTGGAACAAACAAACAAACAAACAAACTCACTTTCCGAATTATAATATAAGTAAGGAAATGAAGGATAAGGATAACAAAAAGAATGAATGAAATAGCTATCCTGGTTCCCAAATTTAGACGAAAAAGTCAATTTGAAGCTCGTTTGTTGAAATGAGCAGATAATATTTGCATTCAGACTAATAAATGAATTTTTATATTTTGACTCAAATTATAATTCTTTACTTTAACCTACCATTACAACTAACACCCAGTTTAACACATAACATCACGCCTTTTTATCCCCGAAGGGGTAGGCAGAGGTGCACATTTCGGCACTTAATGCCACTGTACAATGTAACACCCATTTTTCACTATTTATGTTATGAGTCCCATGTAATAGGGGGTGAGCCTATTGCCATATACCGGGCACATTTTTCCAGACTCCGTGCTACTACTGAGATTTTTAAAAACCCAGTAATACTTTGCCCGACCCGGGAATCGAACCCGAGACCCCTTGCCCGGCAGTCGCACTTGCGACCACTCCGCCAATGAGGCAGTTTAACACCAATATCTTAATTTGATCACCAATATCTTCGCTTGAAGTTCCAAGTTAGTTCAGTATCAGTCGAGTTCCTCGTCAAATAATTACGTGAGTAAGCCGAAAACATAATAATTTAATATCTTCATTGTCTTCCAGGTTTGAATGCAACGTCTGCCACGCCTGTTTCACCCGAAGATGCTACTGGAAGAAGCACCTTCTTAGACAGCATGACATCGTCACTCCCCCTCAGAGACCAGGTCGGCAGAAGACCAACGAAGTCATAGGAGACTATCTAGAAAAACAAAGCATCGGTGACTTTTATCAGAAAGGGAATTTGGTTGATAGTAAGGAATCGTAGCAATATTAGGAGATGATGACGGGGTATGATAATTAAAAATCTATTTAGTTTAGTAGGTAATGACATAACGGCCTCTCAGAAAACCGATGTGAAACAACGCTGGCGTTGTGTGATTGAGGTTATGGGAAGCCCAACCACCCTTACTTCCCCAATCTCCCCAATCCCTGAATCCCCAACATTTCTCGAATTCCTAATCACCAGAAGGCCGGTAATTGCATTTGGTATGAGGGCCATGAGGACGGCAAATCATCCAATGACTTCTCCCGTCTGAGTGAGGCGAGAGGGAGTGTTAGACTCTTACTGACTAAAAACCACCCCGTTCCTACTCCTGCACGTCGAGCCGGAGCCTCGGTAACAGTTCTCCGCGGCTTCGTGTAGGCATCAGCCCTGTTGGACCCATCCGTGATGGTCTGATGGCTCCTTGAGGCGCGCGCGGAACGCTCGGCGCCGTACGCTCGGGTCTGGTTCTGGTCGGGCGGCGAGCCATGCTCGCCGTCCACAGGCCCGCACTTACGGCGGCGTGATGTGCACCTCTGAGTACCCCTTCGGGGATAAAAGGCGAGATGTTTATGTTATGTGTTATACAAATCAGTTCTATTTTGACGATAATCGATTATTTTTTTAGAATGGTTTGGTTCCAATATAAAATATTGCCCAATGTTGGAATCAACACCATTTTAATTTCACAATACCTAATTAGGTACCTTCTTTGATTGGTTCGAAAGTGCTCTATGGTATACACTAATGCCCGATTTCACCAATCAATACTAAGATTAAAGATATTAAAAACTTGCTGTGCCCGCGATTTCGTCCGCGTGGAAGAGTGATTCACAGCTCCTCTCCCGTAGGTGATAGCGTTATAATATATAGCCTATATGGTGACTCGACCTATCAGTTTATGTTCACTCCGGACATACATACAGACAAACAGACAAAAATTCTAAAAACCATATTTTTGGCTTCGGAATCCATTGTAGACCACGCCCAAAGCATTCTTTATAAAAATATTCGATTTACAGTTTTCACTTTCCTACGATTTTATTATTATGTATAGATAGAAGATATATGACGCCAAACGATATTTTAATAATCACAAACTTATAAGTGATATCTAAAAGGTAAAGGCGTTGGAGTGAGGTACTACATCAAGCTAAGTATTTCTTAGGTAAGTGTTGGTGAAATGACTGCCTCGTTGGTCGAGTGGTCGCAAGTGCGACTGCCAGGCAAGGGGTCTCGGGTTCGATTCCCGGATCGGGCAAAGTATTACTGGGTTTTTAAAAAATTCTCAGTAGCACGGAGTCTGGAATTGTGCCCGGTATATGGCAATAGGCTCACCTCCTATTACATGGGACTCATAACATAAATAGTGAAAAGTGGGTGTTACATTGTACAGTGGCATAATGTGCACCTCTGCCAACCACTTCGGGAATAAAAGGCGTGATGTTATGTTATAAGTATGTTATGGGTTGGTGAAATCAGGCATAGGCATAATATTTACTGATTTTCAATTTTATGACCAAAAGGATAAGGTGCAAAATATAAGAAGACTTTGTTTTCTTTTTATTATTATCAATATCGGAATTGCGAAGTGTAGCGTTTGTAAACCTTATGTAAAGGTGGTATAGCAATAATATATAATATTAATATAATATATAGTAATATTATATTTATATACAGGGGTAAACAGAACGCTTCCGAAAAACGCTGACTGACAAGTGATGGTCAAAAATAAGTTTTATCACTACATAGTATAAAACAAAGTCGCTATCCACCGTCTGTCTGTCCCTATATATGCTTATATCTTTAAAACTACGCAATGGACTTTGATGTCGTTTTTTTAAATAGATAGAGTGATTCTTAAGGAAGGTTTATATATAGGCTCACCCCCTATTACATGGGACTCATAACATAAATCGTCAAAAGTGGGTGTTACATTGTACAGTGGCGTAAAGTGCCGTTATGTGCACCTCAGCCTACCCCTTCGGGGATAAAAGACATGAAGTTATGATGTTATCAGCCTTGAGCGGCTGATCACAACTATTATTACCTAAAAGAAACATTTAATTCCTTACTTATATGAATACTAGCGGCCGGCCCCGGCTTCGCACGGGTGCAATATGCACGTATTATACATATAAACCTTCATTAAGAATCACTCTATCAATTAAAAAAACCGCATCAAAATCCATTGCGTAGTTTTAAAGATATAAGCATACATAGGGACAGACAGACGGCGGATAGCGACTTTGTTTTATACTATGTAGTGATAAAACTTATTTTTGACCATCACTTGTCAGTCAGCGTTTTTTGGAAGCGTTCTGTTTACCCTGTAATAGTTTAATATATAACTTTGGACTGTATAGCTTATTTATACATACTGTTATATTGTATTAGTTAATAAATTGTATATATTATATTAAATGTTTATTTAAGCTGAACAATTTGTTTTTATTTCATACTTATTTTTTAAGAGGTGGAAATCATCGAATGACTGCTCCCGCCTGGGTGAGGCGGGAGGGAGTGTCAGACTCTTTCTGACTAAAAACCACCCCGTTCTTCCTCCTGCACGTCGAGCCGGAGCCCCGGTTACCCGTTAGGTTCTTCGCGACTTAGCTTCTGCCCGCGACTTCGTACGCGCAATCCCGTTTCTTCCATTCCCGTAGGATTTTCAGGACTTTTTTCTGTCATAAGAACCTTCTCCTAAAGATAACAAACACAAGAAAAAAAGATCAGCCAAATCGGCCTGGCCGTTCTCAAGTTACGGCGTGACAACGGGAAACGAGTTTCATTTATATATATATACTAGCGGACTCAACAGACGTTGTCCTGCATATCCACTTGAATGTATAAACAAAAATTCATTCAAATTAGTTCAGCTGTTTAGGATAAATAACCTAAACATCGACTGCAGCGCCATCTGCCGGGCTGATTTGTGAATCTAAACCACTCCCAGATCCCTTTGAACACACACAAAAAAATTCATCAAAATCGGTCCAGTCGTTTGAGAGAAGTTCAGTGACACACACTCACAGAATTATATATATAAAGATAGATATACCTCTAGATTAACTTCTGTCAGCGGCTTCGCTCGCGATTCCGTGGGATAAAACGTTGCCTATATGATATTCCAGACCCATCCCCAATCTCCCCAATCCCTGAATAGAATACCCATCAATCCTCAAATTCCGAATCCCCAAAAGGCCGGTAACGCATTTGTATCGACTCTAGTGTTCCAAGTGTCCATGGACGGCGCCGATTGCTTACCATCAGGTGATCTGTCTGCTCGTTTGACGCCCAACCACATAAAATAACGACCTATGTATAATAGGCGTAATGCTATATTAAAATCTATATTCAGCGTACAATCTAGATTTTAATTATTTAAAATGCGAAACTATCAAATTTTGTATGTTTGTTACGCTTTATCTTCAAAACTGATCGACCGATTATGATGAAGTTCGATACGGACATTGTTTGAAATTTGAGAAAGATCATGTAAGTATCCAAATTGATAATATATACTTTATATTCCATTTATAATCATGTACCCGCGGCTCGCGTCACAAAAGAATAAAAAGTAGCCTATGTGGCATATACCAATACACACAGCGCCATCTATACCAATACTTTTGTTTTTCCTCGGGAATATCAATTTTTTCCGGGTTAAAAAGTACCCTATTATTTAATCCGGACTTCTAAGTTTACGTCTGCAAAATTTCAAAGCAATTGGTTGAGTAGTTACGGCGTGAAGGTGGAACAAACAAACAAACAAACAAACTCACTTTCAGATTTATAATATTAGTAAGGATAGTAAGGATAATCAAATACATGCAGGTTTTAATTTAATTTTATTTTAATTTTTTAATTTTTTCTTCATCTTCATCAACAGACCTTGACACTTGATAGCCTATTAATAGACCATGGACCTCCACTGTATTCCATAAGAGGGCTTTTCACAATTTCCACACTTTAACGCCAATTCGAGTTCCGTTTCATCCAACGGCAAGTACCAATGTGATTTTTTCCGAGTTATATGTACTTTCTAAGATTATCTAGATATCACTGACAAACGGCGAAGAAAAACATCGCGAGGAAACCTGGACTTATAATTTCTAATTATAAGTTTGTAATCGCCAACCTGCATTGAGCAAGCGTGGTTATTAATGCTCAAACCTTCTCCGTGTGAGAAGAGGCCTTTAGTCAATAGTGGCCACTTATAGGTTGTTGATTATGATTTTTTTTATGGCATAAGCCGGTAAACGAGCAGACGGATCACCTGATGGTAAGCAATCGACGTCGCCCATGGACACCTGGAACACCAGAGGCGTTACAGGTGCGTTACCGGCCTTTTGGGGATTAGGAGTTTGAGGATCGTTGGGGATTCAGGGATTGGGGAGATTGGGGAAAGGGAGGGTAATTGGGCCTCCGGTAACCTCACTCACACGACGAAACACAACGCAAGCGTTGCTTCACGTCGGTTTTCTGTGTGGCCGTGGTATCACTCCGGTCGAGCCGGTCCAATCGTGCCGAAGCATGGCTCTCCCACACTTAAAAATGAACGAACCACTCACAGCGCCGAACGCGGTTTCATTTCGATTACTTTAAACGTAAAATAAACTCGTTGTAAGGCCTCAGGTTTATCGCTGTCAAACGTGTCGTCCCATAGTCGTCGTAACGACACTCGCGGTAAAGACTCCTGCACTCTGGAGTGAAAGAAAGAAGAAGAAAGAAAAACCATTTATTTTTGCGCAAAACACACATAACATAACCAAAAATAAAATAAAATAAAAGCTAAAAATATAAAATGAAGTGAAGTCTTGTCCATGGTCCACAGACTTATTATTTACTGAAATTATGGAATACTTAATATCTAACATTATCTGTGGACCATAGACAAGGAACACCCTACTTACTTCATGCATGCATTTCATAAAATTGGATGGAGTGGTAACTTTATTCTACTCAGCATGTCCGGGTGTCATCACTGCGAGGGCCGTCCTGAGGACACGGTGGAAAACACAGTGGGGGAATGCCCTGCGTGGGCTGAGCACCGCCTCAAAGAGCCATCAGACCACCACAGATGGGGCCCAACAGGGCCGATGTCGATTCGGAATCGCGGAGAACCTAACGGGTTACCGGAGCTCCGGCTCGACGTGCAGGAGATGGAACGGGGTGGTTTTTAGTCAGTAAGAGTCTGACACTCCCGCCTCACCCAGGCCGGAGCAGCCATTCGATGATTTTCCCCATTAAAAAAAAAATCTTACTCAGCATCTCCACATAGCAACGGTTTTAGGACATGCATAGGTACCCAAATCTAAGCCAAAAGACTGGAAGCGTTAGCCATTAGGTGACCCTTTAACTCCTTTTTCATAAATAAAACACAAATAGGTGCTATCCAACTGCTGTATTCAGATATATTCGTAGCTAGTCGGACCTCAGACATCGGTCGGAGCATCGTTTGAGACAATCCGGGTCGTTGCGGCAGTGCGCCCGACATGATGCTTGGCACCTTGTTAGAGTGCGCACATTCGTTCGAGGGAGGCGCTCGTCAAACATTACGCTGAAATCAACGTAAAATAAAATTAGTTGTGCTGTATGAGCTATCTAGATCAGCAAAATATATAATAAAAACTTTTTAGCTGAGTTTATGCTACACAATAGGGTAGTTGCCTAAATTGTATTTCAATCTCCGTCTGGTACATTAATTTAAAACTTTAGACACGTATTTTTTCTTTTCTCACAAAATTAAATACTTTCGACGATATATTAATTTAAAATATCGTGTGACGTCACAGCGTGTCACATTTTGTACCACGTTATGACGTAACGACCTCCCACTCCTAAACTTAGCGCCATTTTATCTAAATATTGCAACTTATACGAGAAAATAAAAAATATGTGTCTAATATTTTTTCATTATCTAACTGACGAACTAATTAGATTTTTAATTTTGATACCCTGGAAACTACCCAATTGTATTTAAAACATTAAATTTAAAAATAATTCAAGTTAAATTATATAAATGGCTCAATGATAATAATTTCTATAATATTAATGATTTTTTAAAATGACACAATGGCAATAATTTAATTTCAAATTACTAAACAAAATCCTGATTATGAAATTAATGGTAACAATCTAACCAGTCAAAAGTCAAAATCATTTATTTAAATTAGACCAGGAAGACACTTTTGAACGTCAGCAGTAGAAATTTTAAAGTGAAGCTATTTGCTCATTCCAAGGTGTAGATTTCTATGGAGAAGAACGAGCAAGAAACTCCATAGGTTACTCTTTTCCAATCAGTTTCACAATACAGTAACTTTGCATGCTTTAGTAATTAGCGAAACACGTATGAACTAATCTAATAGGTAATAACATCTTAGATTTTGGAGAAAATAACCCTTCTTTGCCGGTATGAGCGTGGTTGTCCAATCCCTTTTATCCATAGGTCGGCAATGCACTTATAATACTGGTGTTACGAGTGTCTATCGACGGTAGGTACTGCATGATTACCTACCATCAGGTGATCCGTCTGCCCATTTACTATGTAACCCATAAAAATCACACCTTCAGCAAACACTTGCATCAATTAAGTAAGTTGAGTATGAATCCTTCGGTTTTCGGATTGGACAAAGCATTAAAAGCTAATTTTTCGGTAAAAAATCTCAATTATACAACACGGTAAAATTTCAAAATTATGGTCCATGCCTTTTATCCCTGAAGGGGTAGACAGAGGTGTACATTACGGCACTTAATGCCATTGTACAATGTAACACCCACTTTTCACTATTTATGTTATGAGTCCCATGTAATAGGGGGTGAGCCTATTTTTTTATATTATTATAGCAACAGGTTCGTCCGATATTGCAAAGAACGAGAATCAATTATCAATTGATCACTTTGATCACTTTGACTGGATTTTAGTGTTACATTGTTCTCGCACAATCCAAACAGCAAAACTATGTAACTAGTAAATTGTATTGTGAACCTGATTGAAAAAGAGTAACCTATGGAGTTTCTTGCTCGTTCTTCTCCATAGGAATCTACGCCTTGGAATGAGCAAATAGCTTCACTTTTAATTTTTTTTTGTTGACGTTCAAAAGTGCCATTCTGGCTTTTGATTTTGACTTTTGACTTTGAAAAGTTAAGACCCCTTGTTCAAAACTCACACTTGCGTCTCAACTTATTATTAATCTGCTATTAATAATACCTGTCAATAAAAGGTACAGAAGTGCAAGTAGCGGCGTCACAATGTAACACAGGTGGCGCCACTGCAGCCATAAGGGAGCTGTCCTCGCCGATGACATACGGTATATGATCAATATACACACTATCGAATAGACACAGTCGCTTCATGTACTCTTCTGGGTGAGTGAACATCGTTGGTGGTGTTCCTGGAAACAATGGGATGGTGATGTTGATGACGTCATCATTATCATCGTATCAAATACAATTTAAGTGTGGGAGAGCCATGCTTCGGCACGAATAGGCCGGGCGACCGGAGTGATACCACGGTCGAGGAGAAAACCGACGTGAAATAAACATGTTGTGCTTTGTCGTGTGAGTGAGGTTACCGGAGGCCCAATTACCCCAGCTCCCTACCCCATTTCCTGAATCTCCAACAATCCTTAAATTCCTAATTCCAAGAACTCCGGTAACACACTTGTAACGCCTCTGGTGTTACCGGGGCTCCAGCTCGAAGCACAGGAGTTTTTTAGTCAGTAAGGGTCTGCTGACACTCCCTCCCGCCTCACCCAGGCGGGAGAAGTTATTCGATGATTTTCCCCCTTAAAAAAAAATCGTCTCTGATGTTCCAGGTGTCCATGGGCGACGCCGATTGCTACCATCAGGTGATCCGTCTGCTCGTTTACCAGCTTATCCCATAAAAAATTAGCAGAGCCCTATTGTCCCTAGCTAGGCCACTGCCTGGAGCGCCAGGTTATAGAGAGGTGCTGTGAGACGCGTGTGCCTAATTGCCCATAGTGACGATGGCCCTAAAAAAAATTAGGGGCACCTATGAAGTGCTCGTCTAGGGCGCTTTCTAGGTTTACTCCGCCTCTGAAAGCAAGAGGTATTGAGGTACTACATTTTCTTACCAACATACAATTTTTTTTCTGGAATAAACCGGTAAACGAGCAGACGGATCACCTGATGGTAAGCAATCGGCGTCGCCCATGAACTCGAAACACTAAAGGTTTTACGTTACCGGCCTTTTGGGCATTAAAAATTTGAGGATTATAGGGGATTTGGGTTTGGGGAGATTGAGGAGGTAGGTAATTGTGCCTACCTCCGGTATAAACTCACACGATGAAATACAACGCAAGTGTTGCTTCACGTCGGTTTTCTATGAGGCCGTGGTGTCACTCCGGTCGAGTCGGCCCATCCGTGCCGAAGCATGGACCTTCTGTACTTGGCTGAATGTACAAAAATAAACTTAAAATTCTCACCAACAGTATAATATCTCGTATTGCACATATGTTCTTGTATCAAAGAAGATCGGTTGTGGAACCACCCAATCAGCCACTGCAGGTCTTCAAACTTGGTGATCTCATCGTTGATGACCTTCCTCGTCAGCCGAAGATATTCTACGTCGGCTTCAATTACTGATTCGTCTTTGTCTTCACCGTAACTGGAAGTAGTTGGAATTGAAATTATATATAATATTTACTATCGTAATAGGACTGCCTCTTTGGCCGATTGGTCGCAAGTGCGACTGCCGGGTTCCCGGGTTGGGCAAAGTATTACTGGGTTTTTAATCTAAGTGGTACCACGGAGTCTAGAAATGTGCCCGGTATATGGCAATAGGCTCACCCTCTATTACATGGGACTCATAACATAAATAGTGAAAAATGGGTGCTACATTGTACAGTGGCATTAAGTGCCGAAATGTGCACCTCTGCCTACCCCTTCGGGGATAAAAAGGCGTGATGTTATGTTATGTTCATAATAGGTATTTCTACATACTCCCAACTATTAATTATCGTCATAATATCAGTCACAACACGTACACTACCTCACACTCATCACACACGTATGAGTGAGGTCATCGGAGGCCTAATTACCGTATCAAACTCCAAGAGTGGGAGAGCCATGCTTCGGCTTAATGGGCCGGCTCGACCGGAGTGATACACCCAAAAGGCCGATAACGCACTTGTAACGCCTTGGTGTTTCGAGTGTCCATGGGCGGTGCTGATTGCTTACCGTCCGTGGTGGTGATCCGTCTGCTCGTTTACCGGCTTATACAATAAAAAAAAAATTTAAATTGGTTTAACTAATACAGAGATAATCGCAGTCAAATACAAGGACGTTAAATAAGGCGGACATAGTCTCTTGAAACAACGACTGTGGCACCTGGCTACTATAGACTTACACGCAGAATACACACACATTGACACGAAGGACATCTGTCGCGTGACATGGCCCGTCATTACGCTTTATACATTACGGTGTTGCAAGTACACGCACACATAAATACACCACTGACATTTTGGTGCTTTAATCATTTCTAAGTGACATTACGTCCGCCTTTTTTGCGACGTCCTTGGTCAAACATACATCATCATCATCATCCACAGCCTATAAGTTCCAACTGCTGAGCAAAGCCTCTTCTCACACGGAGAAGGTTTTAGCATTAAACTATCAAACACCGCGAGGACACCGGTGACCGTAACCTATAGTTCTTTAACTGTGTCTATAATGACGGTACTCAAAGGGTTAATCACCACGCTTGTTCATGCGGGTTGGCGATTTCAAACTTATAATTAGAAATTAAAAGCCCAGGTTTCCTCACGATGTTTTCCTTCACCGTTTGTCAGTGGTGTCTAAATAATCTTATAAAATACGTATAACTCGGAAAAGCCACATTGGTACTTGCCGGTAATAGGTTTCGAACCCTCACCCTCATGCATGAGAGAAAGAAGCCTTTGTCGAAGAAGAAGTCTTAACCTCCGAGTCACCATGACAGTCAAACATACATACCGCTCAAATTGACGACCTCCTCTGTTTCCGAAGGCGGTTGATAAAAATCTTACACTTATAAATAAAGCGCAAGAGTTTGTTTTTTGCTTGTTTGTTTGAATGCGCTAATCTCCGTAACTACAAGTCTGATTTGAATAATTCTTTTTGTGTTGGATAGCGCATTTATCGAGGATGGCTATAGGCTATAAAACATCACGCTACGACCAATAAGAGCTGAGCAGAGCGTGTGAAACCGCGCGGAAGTAGCTAGTTACTTAAATAAAACGCAAAAAAATATATTTACTTACTTTCTGTACTGCATTTTGAGTATGGCTTCAGACATATGGATTCTAAATATAACTCCTGGCCTTAAATGTGCCTGGTACAAGTCCTTTGGCATTTCAACGTAACCTGATTCCCAATCCTGAAAGAAATTGTGATATATCAGGATTTTTAAGGGGAAAAAAATTAACTTCAATGCTCAAAATACGAATTTGGCTCAAGTTGTTAATTAGAACCACTAATGCCCGAATACTGAAACATTACTCAATTTTAAGTCACGCTTAAGTATAGTTCTGTCACCACAAATTCTTTATAAAATGACAGAGATGGCACGATATTTAAGCACGACTTAAAATTGAGTAACGTTTCAGTATTCTGGCATAAGGAGTGTAAACTCTTCGCCATAGTCAAGGCCCGAGTGAATAGGTTGGTTATGGGCAGACGTGCTCCATCATTGCTTACCACCAGGCGAAATAATGCAAATAAAGAACTATACCAATAGAAGCGCCTTAGCCACCTAATCAGATGAAATATCTGTCTGAAAAAAGACACACACATCGGTCGTGGTAGCCCGGAGGTTTAAAACGCCCGCTTCTCATGCATGAGAGTGCGGGTTCGAAACCTACCAACGGCACCCAATGTGACTTTTTCAGGGTTATATGTACTTTTTAAGATTAGTCAGACACCACTGACAAACGGTGAAGGAAAACATCGTGAGGAAACCTGGACTTATAATTTCTAATTATATAATTATAAGTTTGTAATCGCCAACCCACATTGAGCAAGTGTGGTGATTAATGCTCAAAACCTTCTCCGTGTGAGAAGAGGCTTTGCTCAGCAGTGGGCATTTATAGGCTGTTGATGATGATGATGATGAACCTCACAACGCTGTGAGCCGTGGCGTAACTACAGGGTCGCAAGGCGGCAAAATGCCACAAGTCCCCAACTGTAAGGGGGTTTTTATCTGAACCTATCTCTTTTAGATTAGGAGCGGAGTCCCATGATGAATTTGCCACGCCTGATGAAAACGCCAATGCACGGGCAAGAATACATAATCGAGATGCCGGGACCGCCGATGGGCGGACTGCATAGTACCTACAGCATGGTGGCATCTGGGTGATATCGTTACTATTCAAAATGAGAGTGAATGATTTAACCAAATAGAGTTCAATTTACCTTGCCAGGTGGCTCGTACATGTCAAAGTTAGGTGATCTACTAAAAGAACGTTTTCGTTCCACCATCTCACCGGTGCGAGCGACTGGCACTTCGGTACTGGAGCCATTCTTCGGCTGAAAAGGAACTTTAAGTGAATTTATTAAAGTTCACTTCTGTTCGGCATGCCCAGTAAGGCAGGTCGACTTGAATTGGTAGGTACGTACTGCCTATGTACTTACATGGGATTTCTGAAAGGTAATTTAGTATAAATTTTAGTCTTTTGTAAACATCCCCAATCCAGAAAAGACCAGCAGTTTGGAACTCCGTTAGTGTTCAGGGTGTCCATGGGCTGTGATGATTGCTTACCATCAGATGATCCGCCTGCTTGTTTACCGTCCTACATACATATATAACATCACGCCTTTTTATCCCCGAAGGAGTAGGCAGTGGTGCACATTACGGCACGTAATGCCACAATTCTTAGACAAAACGAATTAAAGTTTAATAGTGGCAGCTAGCTACGTCACTTTAGAATATAAAATCTACTCAAAAGTGACGAAATATAATGTCGAAAGTATTCGTTTCCGTAAGAAAATAAAAAATACGTGTCTAATGTTTTTAAATAATCTACCAGACGGATATTAAAATAGAAATTAGTCATCTACCAGGTTGGTGAAACCCAATATGACTTTAAGTGAAACCTATCTCACCCCCTATTACATGGGGCTCATAACATAAATAGTGAAAATTGGGTTTTACATTGGACAGTGGCATTAAGTACCGTAGTGAGCACCTCTTCCTACACCTTTGAGGATGAAAGGCGTGCTGTTATGTGAAATCTATCTTAGCTTAGGGATTCTTTAAAAAGTTAAGAGAGTTTGGTGGAAACTAACCTAAGTAAGTAGGTACTTACCTCTTCATCTGGTGCATTAGTGGTAGCTCGCTGACGACTACGCCGTCTGCCACCGCGTCCACGTCGCCTCTGTAAGAAAAACACGTTGATAGGTAATTTTGTAAGAGCTCTTACACACGAGCGCCTTGTTGCCAACGGCAGAGGCAACTGCTGACGTCGTCGACGGCAGCCGTCGATGCGTTAGCGGTATCCGTTGACATTTCAACTTCGAAGAACGCCACAATTTCAAGTGTCAAGTGAAACAAGTGAATTTATTTCTGCAAATAGGCTACAAGGCGGCACTTTTACACGTCAATTTTATCAAACGAACGATGAGATCGACATTTCCTAACTGACTACTCTAAGAAATGCAGAAACAAACTCAGAGGTCTGTCTCTTTTAAAGTCCAGACAAATATGTATAAAAAGATTATGTGTGAGAACCGTGCAAGTTCTTTCTGTAGTGGCCTTTTGAGGAAAGAACCAAAACAGTTTGAGCGGACCCGTTCTGAAGGCAGTACGCATGTGTCGGTTTACAGTCAGCTCAATTAACAGGTGAGGCTGACTGATTCGACGAACAATACCAATCTAAAGAACATTTGCGTGGGTCGCAATAAGATCGACTGCTGCCGCCGACGTGTTGCCGGCTGCAGTTACCTCTGCCGTAGGTAACATGCTGGTCGTACGAAAGAGTTCTGATAGAATCGGTACAGGTGCCCACTGAGTGGCTCAAGACGGACGGTAGCTAAGCGGTCACGTGTTGACGTGCAACTGCATAGCGAGGGTCAACGGAGGCGCAGGTCTCCCTAGGAATGTACCGTAACAGGCGTTGTGCTGTGAGGGCTCCGGAGCAGCTGGGATATTGTGTAAAATGTTAATTATTGAACTCTTGAGTGAGCTCGATCGCGGTCTGTCATTGGTTGATGACGGCGACGATGAATGATGGGCGATAGTTCAAATTGACATATTACAAAATAGCAGAGCTGGTCAAGCTGGCCCATTCGTGCCGCAGCATGGCCCTTCCACGTAAATTGGCACTTACAGAGTTTAAAAATGTATGGATTGCCACGAGATCAAGGTCTGATTATCACGACTTTTTAATTAAGGATTTTTTTGGCATAAGCCTGTAAACGGGCAGACGGTTCACCTGATGGCAAGCAATCGGCGTCGCCCATGTGTACACCTAGAACACCAGAGGCCTAGAACACCAGAGGCGTTACAAGTGCGTTACCGGCCTTTTAGGGATTAGGAGTTTGAGGATCGTTAGAGATTTAGGGATTGGGGTGATTGGGAAGTGGGCCGGGATAATTGGCCCTCACTCACACGACGAAACACAACGTATGCGTTGCATCACGTCGGTTTTCTGCTCGGCCGTGGTATCACTCCGGTCGAGCCGGCCCATTCGTGCCGAAGCATGGCTCTCCCACACTAATAATTATTAAAATAATTTCAAAATCTAAGTACCTAATCTATAAATCTAACCTATTTTTATTTAAAGGTTAATTTTTTACTTTTTCTTAAAGTTAAGTAAGTAGCAGTTAGGGTAAGTACTTTTTTTATGGAGGGAACTATCATCGAATGACTTCACCCGGTGAGGCGGGAGGGAGTGTCAGACTCTTACTGACTAAAAACCACCCTGTTTCTACTCCTGCACTTCGAGCCGGAGCCCTGGTAACCGTTTACGTTCTCCGCGGCTGGGGTAGGTACTAAGATTTTCTCCTGTGTCGTGGGTGCGTCTACAAGTGCACATACACAATGACACCGAGACGAAGATCAACAATCTGTGGATCACACACACAGTGTTATTCCGTGCGGGAATCGAACCGCACCACGTTGCGCAGCCGCAATCAAAAGTTATGTTGTCCTTAATTTACTTACAAGCATAACGGATTATATAATTATGTACATATGTATGATGATGTTAGCCTTCATTGGCGAAACGAACAAGTGAGTACGAACTGAAACACTAATCAAATAATTATAACAATAATTTTTGTAAGTCAGCAAATTCCTTGACGTGTTTCTATTTAAATGCAAGGTGAGCGCAGAGGTTGGGCGATTGGCTACTGTGCAACTTATCGTGGGTTTTTCCAAGATGAAACACTTACTTAGGGTAAACCGGGGTGAATAGACTTTATGAAAAGTTCCCTAATATCTTATCACACCGTTATTCCCGGTATTTTGTCGCGGAGAATCTAACGGGTAACCGGGGCTCCGGCTCGACGTGCAGGAGAAGGAACGGGTGGTTTTTAGTCAGTAAGAGTCTGACACTCCCTCCCACCTCACCCAGGCGGGAGCAGTAATTCGATGATTTTCCCCCCTTAAAAAAAATTCCCGGTATTTTGAGTGGTTCATAAATTGTTGAATGACTTGAGGGCTCGTATACAAAACTGCGATGTGATGTCGCATCGAGCTACCTCTAAACATCGCTAGAACTTGCAAATTGATTTGCATCGCGCATCAATATCTTATGATCCCGAAATCTTCTTTGTTTCTTTTTCCTGTATCGCCTAAGCAGTAACAGAAGTGTACACTTCTTTTACGATCCATATCACGACCTAGTTTTCAATTTAAAATACGGTTAGTACAGTTGACGGTCGTCGAAGGAATGGTCACCCTGAGAGACGCCTTATCGGACGAAATCGCATCGCAATTTTTTGTGTTGCGAATTCGCATCACAGTTTTGTGTACGAGCCCTTACAATTTATACACAGGTCTCAAGTGGTCCAACCGCCTTATGCTTGTGTAATCGCTTCTTCATGTGAGAAGAGTCCAGCAGTGTGGTAGCTACCGGGCACCGGCACCCCCTTTTTAAGGGGGGAAAATCGTCGAATGACTTCTCCCGCCTGGGTGAGGCGGGAGGGAGTGTCAGACTCTAACTGACTAAAAACCACCCTGTTGCTACTCCTGCACTTCGAGCCGGAGCCCCGGTAACCCGTTAAGTTCTCCGCGGCATAAATACAGTTACGTCCGCCAATTTTCAACGTCCTTGCTTATGAGTTAATGAGGTTAAACAACAAAAAATGAAACAAAAACACATCACATTCAATCCTTTATTTACTGCAATTTACTCCTCAACATCCTTAGGTTCAGTGATAGAATCGACGAACACAATGGAATTACACTCAGCTGCATCACACTGCAACATAGGAGGCACTTCCACAGGAGTCACGGAATACTCATCACCAATCACGTAAGGGTTGCCATCAATCCATAAAGCATCGAAAAGACAATAGATATGCACCTTTATGGTCATGTAGCTGATAAACTTGTAAATTCTTCCACCGCATTCCCCCAAATGTTCTTTAATACTCTTATCCGTTTTGTACATTAATAGAAGGTTGTGGAACTTTGTTATCTCATCCATAACAACCTTTTTTATCAGGTTAGTGTAGATTATGTCAGCTTCTATATGTCTTTCGGGGTCTTCGTACATTCGCTGCTTGATCCGCAAAATAGCGTCCGACATCCGAACTCTAAATATTACGCCGGGGTTCATCTGGTCGGGCATGATACCGGGTTTTTTGGTTGAAGTCGAGAACTCCATGATACGGTCTTTGACTGGTTCTGGGTAGGTGTAGTGGTGAGGCCTCTCTCGCAGTTGTGGGCCCAGCAGTGTACTGAATTTTCTCACGTTCTGCAGCAGAAAAATAGTCTTGTCAATTTGGTTTGGGTGCTAAGATCCAGATGAAATACTTGGGGCAATTTTGCTCATTTCGGTTTTTTGAAAGACAAAGTTGTTTATCTGTTTCATTTTCAAGGATGAGTTCACAGTTTTTCGCGTAATTTCACTAGCTTGTTGAACACTAATCACTGATTGAAGTCCAATAAAAAATCTTATTTACAAAAAGAAGAGCAGCCAAGATTGCCGTTATTAAACGTCGATAATATCAAAACTCGCGAATGTATGGTAATCACCGCCAAAATACAAAATTGGTTTAAATGTATTAAAATTCTCTGGCTATATACTTAACGGGTATTATATAGGTAGGACACAAGATTATAAGTTAAATTCCTGTATGAGACAAAACGATATTTACTTGGAATACTTTGTTCTTAATAGCACAAAGTCTTGAATTGGCCTACAGTAATCTACTATATAAAAATAAGTCAAGTTTTCCTTCCTGACGCTATAACTCCAGAACGCACGAAACGATTTTCACGGTTTTGCATTCGTTGGAAAGGTCTCGGGCTCCGTGAGGTTTATAGCAAAGAAAATTCACTTTTAACTGGTGGCGAAATGGAGTTCGCCGGGTTTGCTAGTTTGGTATAGAGTACAGGTTGGCAAAAAATAATTTAACGCGGTGGCAACTGGACTTAGACATCACCCAATTTGGACCATATCCTATGAATAAAAAATCATCCGAACATCCTCTTTTAAAATCGATAGCTTATCTAAACTGGTTGAGTCGTAGCGTACCAGGTTGCCACAGATACCAGTGCCCTCAACTATTCTAAACTCTTTTTTGCCAAGCTGTACTTACTGGCTTGACGACTGCCTCGTTGGCCGAGTGGTCTCAAGTGCGACTGCTGGGCAAGGGGTCTCGGGTTCGATTCCCGGGTTGGGCAAAGTATTACTGGGTTTTTAAAAAAATCTCATTAGTAGCACGGAGTCTGGAATTGTGCCCGGTATATGGCAATAGTCTCACCCCCTATTACATGGGACTCATAACATAAATAGTGAAAAGTGGGTGTTACATTGTACAGTGGCATAATGTGCACCTCTGCCTACCCCTTTGAGGATAAAAGGCGTAATGTATACTGACCCTGGCTCGCCTCCTAATGCGATTATGCTCTGGTGATATATCCTGCTTGTCCTTGTAGTTATTCAGGTAGCTGTCGAACTTGGAGAAGTCGAACGGAGACCAGGGATCAGCTTTCGTTTCTCCTCGGACATCGGAGGGCTCATCCTGCGAAGGAAATTACAATGAGAAGGGCTGAAAATAATCCTGCTTCGTTTACTACGCTTAGGAGCAAAGAGACAGTTTTTACCGAACTATGAACCGATCGTATTCTTTAAAACCTTTTATAACTAAAACTAAATTGACTTTTATTATATACTAGCTTTTACCCGCAGCTTCGCTCGCGTCACAAAAGGATAAAAAGTAGCCTATGTGACATACAACAATACACATAGCGCCATCTATACCAATTCTTTTGTTTTCCCTCGGTAATATTAAATTTTTCCGGGATAAAAAGTACCCTATTATTTAATCCAGACTTCTAACTTTACGTCTGCAAAATTTCAAAGCAAACGGTTTAGTAGTTACGGCGTCAAAGCGGAACAAACAAACAAACTCACTTTCTGATTTATAATATTATAGTAAGGATACGGCATACGTTACCAATTAATAAAACACTTGTATTAGAAAATATTTATCAAGAAATGAAAAAGGAAAAACTTTAGTTACTTCCTTTTTTGCTCCCAGTGTATTTTTTATGGCATAAGCCGGTAAACGAGCAGACGGATCACCTGATGGTAAGCTACCGGCGTCTTTTATGGACACCTGCAACACCAGAGGCGATACAAGTGCGTTACCGGCCTTTTGGGGATTAGGAATTAGATGATTGTTGGGGATTCAGGGATTGAGAGGATAATTGGGTCTCCGGTAACCTCACTTACAAGACGAAACACTCGGCATTCACATCGGTTTTCTGCTCTGCCGTGGTATCACTCCGGTCGAGCCGGCCCATTCATGCCGAAGCATAGCCCTCCCACACTTAAATTCGAATGAGTATTTGTAATAACTTCTATTTCTAACGGCAATCATCACCGAGTTTTCGGTCGGAAACTTTAATTGAAATAGTTAATGAAAGTTTAGGTGTTATGGTATATGTTTAGGTCAGACGATGTGTTTTTAAGTGTGGAAAAGCCATGCTTTGCAACGAATGGGCCGGCCCGACCGGAGTGATACCACGGCCTGACAGAAAACCGACGTGAAGCAACGCTTGCGTTGTGTTTCGTCGTGTGAGTAAGGTTACCTCCCCTTCCCCAATCTCCCTAATCCCTGAATCCCCAACGATCCTGAAACTCCTAATCCCCAAAAAGCCGGTAACGCACTTGTAACGCCTCTGGTGTTCCAGGTGTCCATGGGCGACGCCGACTGCTTACAATCAGGTGATCCGTCAGCTCGTTTACCGTCCTATTCCATAAAAAAAAGACGATAAATGAAAGCACTTGTACTATTTAAACTCACGTAGTGTATTCACCATAAAGATCGAGCAACGAATGACACACGTCCCGCTACTGCACATACTTAAATATAGGCTTGTAGGTTACACTTAATACTAACATTTATACATGTGGGTCTCAAACTGACCTTATCGTGTGGGGACTTCTTATTCATCAGGTTAACGGGCTGGTCATAGAAGTCATCTTTTAACTGAAAAAAAATAAAAATAAAACAGATTCTCCTGTAAGTAGAACTATCTCTTTTTATGGAATAGGAGGCGAGCAGACTGACCCATCTGATGGTAAGCGAGCGCCGCCCATGAACAATCGCAACACCAGAGGAGTCACCGGCGACTATCTCTTGTATGATGACTGCGTTTCATCATCATATCAGTTACAGGCCACCCACTCACATAGGCCTTCCCCAATGGCTTTCAGATCAACCAGTTAGAATAGACCTGCATCCAGCAGGTTCCTGTACATAGGTATACCCACGAGATCAACCTGTTATCTAGTATCTTAACCAATACCTTCGATTTGGCATCTCTGTGAAAATGAACACGCCTTACGCCAGCAGGCGCTTTCATGGTTCTACTTACCACCTGGTAACAAAAGGATAAAGTTTAGTACCTACCTACAAATAGAAAATATGTATGTATATATGGAGTGCCGATTTCGTCACCATCATATACAACATGTAACGTAATTAACGCACACTCTCAAACACCTCAATTAGAATATTATGTTATAATCATAATACATACACTAAATGTTTAATATAACATGTATATGCATCCTTACTGGTCTTGTCAAAAGGTTTATTTTTCTTTATTTTGTATTGAATGATATAATTTGTATGAATACAAATAAAAATGCGATTTTAAAAGTCTTATTGCTTTGACTTACGGTCCATTTCGATTTATTTTAACAATACAGGGTTAATATGACAATTATTTCCGTAGTTTTAATTATTTCCGTAGTTTTAATTAAAACTAACGCAGAAGTTTGTTATAATTATTAGTCTATACTAAAAATTATATAAATCGATTCAGTTAACGATTCTGAACAAACTATTTTCAGGATGTGCGTTATTTAAGTTACATGTTGTATATAGGTACCACGATATCGAGTCTGCGGACGGCGAGCAAGGGTAGCTCGCCGCCTAACTTCACACCACCACAGATGGGGCCCAGTAGGACTGATGCCCGATACGGAGCCGCGGAAGGTCTAACAGGTTGCCGGGGCTCCGGCTCGAAGTGCAGGAGTAGGAACTGGGTGGTTTTTAGTCGGTAACAGTCTAACACTCCTTGTCGCCTAACTCAAGGTGGGAGAAGTCATTGGATGACTTTCCGCCTTCAAAAAAGGCTTGACCTAACTACATCTATGGGTCATTGTCAAAACAGGGTTCAGATAAAAAAATAAAACAAATACAATTATTTCTAAAGAATTTGTCCTTTATTTAATAAAAATGATTAATTGTAACAATAATAAATTATTGTCTGAGATCAAACTTAACAATTAGAATAGTTATTAAAAAAAACATTTTTATAGGTCCACCGAAAAGACACAGATGTCTACCGAATGTACTAAAAGTGTAATTTAGCCACAATCTTATCATAATAATAGAATCTTTTTTCTATAATATTAATCCAATCATCTCACAGGAAACGATAAAAAAAGTCAACGCAGTATCATTGAAAAGTAAATTACAATAAAATAATGCCTTTTGTCCACCAAAAACACTATGTCTTCTTGGTGGACATAATATCTTCATCCTCGGATGACGACCAAAAATGTTGAAAATACGTCTTGTGTACTTCTATCGGAGTTCCGGGTCTTGAGGTAGGTGGTGATCATGAACTGTCGGAGTAAACATCGGCAAACTTAAGGTTTTAACGACTTTTAAGGCCTTGCATGATCTTGGAGCAGGTTGGTTTTTGAAAATCATTGCTTTGTGTCTCAGTAATTGTTGGCCTCAACTTTTATCTATCTATCGAGATGAGCAACTGTTGGACTATTGGAGTTCAGTTAGGACTCATTAAACTGTCAAACACCAAGCGGTCACCGGTGACCGCGACCTATTGTTCTTTAATTGTGTCTATAAAACCGGTACTCGACGAGTTAATGGGCTTGGTAGACTCGGTAAAGGGCTGGGAATAGAACACTGAACTGGAGTTTTAACGTGCAAATTGTGTAGTGGTAAGTCAAGACTTATACAATCTAAGTCTTCTTGTTTCTTTAATCTATCTTTACGTGATTTTGCGTCCTTTCTCCATTTGTTTCGTAGTTGTCTCTGCTGTCTATCTGATAAATCATTTATTGTCTTAATTTCTCCTAGTGATTTTTTCCTATGGTAGTACTCTCTATCCTTTTTCCGCTTTTCTTCTAATGCTACTGGATCTTTCTTACTTAACTTTTTCTGATCGCGTCTTCTTTTCTTCTTCTCATCTTCAGTAAATTTATTTCTAGTTCTAGCAATTGTTTGTGGATAAAGAAAAAAAGGAAGCCTAAGCAAGGCACAGAGCACGAATCAAATGGAATACAAATAAATGTTTCACGTATAAGTCAACTGCAAGCCGGACAAATTTAGTCATTGTCTAGGAGAATCTGACATCACCCTGAAGATGATTTTTGAATGCGATGGAAACATGTCAAGTAGCTTAGGTACTTTATTCGTGTATCGTTGATATTATTCTACTTTAATAAAAAATAAAGCAACAGCATACATAGCATATTCAACGTAAAACGCCAAAAACATAATCCGCAATAATAATATTATTCGTAAAAACCGCCTCCCGAATGCAGTATTTTAATTATGCAGTTAAAATCTAATTCGCATTAACAACCACATGCAAAATCAGAGTGCACAAAACAAAAATAAAATATTTCATCCACTTGGTGGACATTCATCTTTTTGGTGGACACAAATTCCACCGAAAAGATGTCCACCGAATGAATTATTCTGACAAATTATTTCATTCCAAGCATTATTTTGCGGTTATCTTAAAACCACAAGTCTTTTTAGATAAATGCTATAGAAATCTAACACTCGTTTAAGTTAGAAATATTAAGGTTTCACTTGCCAAAATACACAAGGAACCGAAAAGATACACTCAACTTTGACACCATCAGCAATTTTTAAACAAGGAACAATAATTTCGTTCGTATGCGAGCCGCGTCAAAAAGGGCGCTGCGCGTGATTAGCTGGGTATTGGACGCGTTCATGAATTACGTTCCGTTTACAAAATTTTATTATTTTAATAATAATTTTTATTAATGAATTAAGTCCACCAAATAGATGTAGATTTTGGTAACAATATTGCAATGAACAAAAAGTGTTTTTATTTTAATTCGTTATTTTTAGTTTTTAGTTATTAAAGTAATTAGCATATCTATTTTGGGAAAACATATTCAAAGGTTAACTGTGCATATTAGTTTTCATTATATGATCGAATTTGCATAAAGAGGGAGAGCGGTAACAGCCCACCGAAGCGGACGTTTCTTTCGTAATTGTTTAATAAATACTTTATTTTAATTTTATTTGAAATTACGAATATACATTTTGAATTATTGATTATTTATCTTTACTATAAAATATGAACATGGTATTTTATTTACATTTAAGTCTTTTTTTTCTGTATGTAACACAATTTTAGGCGGTTATGACAATGACCCCTATACAGATAAATAAAATTGTAGTGTTTGTTTGCAATGATAAAAGCCAAATTATTATGTAACAGTTTTTTATAATTTTTGTCTGTCTATCTATTTGTACTGGCAAATCTCTGAAATAGCTAGACCGATTTTGCAAGACTTTCATTAGCTTATGTTTTACTAAGGAGTAACATAGGCTACTTTTATTTGGAAAATTATAACAAAAAAAGTAGTTTTCTAAAATTCATATTCTACGACTACTTGACTGCCTCGTTGACCGAGTGGTCGCAAGTGTGACTGCTGGGCAAAGTGTCTCGGGTTCAATCCCCGGGTCGGGCAAAGAATTACTGGGTTTTTAAAAAAAATCTCAGTAGTAGCACGGAGTTTGGAATTGTGCCCGGTATATGGCAATAGGCTCACCCCCTATTACATGGGACTCATAACATAAATAGTGAAAAGTGGGTGTTACATTGTAAAACAGCATAATGTATACTTCTGCCTACCCCTTCAGGGATAAAAGTCGTGATGTTATGTGTGTATGTCATATTCTACGCGGATGAAGTCGCGGGCAACGGCCAGTTATAAAATACTTACATTCGGACTATCGAAGAGCAGATTACCACGACTTGAAGGAACCGATGCCAAGAAGAAAGAAATCTGAAAAATATAGGAAATTTTAAAACTGTTTAGGAGACTAATGTCCGTTTATACACACTTTTAAGGAACCCCTAAACGAAGATAGGGGACACTTTACAACAGTCTGGTATTCACCATAACCTATGAATAACACTAAATAGTGTTTTTAGATAAACGAGTGTGTTTTAGATGCTCTGGAAACAGGGCCGTCTTACGACTTCTTGTGCGCCCAAGAACCCTAGTGTACTGGGGGGCACAACGTTTACGTTGCCCTACTCTAGGATTTTCTCTTGAATCATAGGTGCGTTAACAAATATAGAAGGTCATGTGTATGTGACCTTCTATATTTGTATTTCTATATGAGCACCTCTTTGTGTGATCCACAGATTGTTGTTCCGGGTCTAGTGTCATGTTTATATGTTCTGTAGTGTCATGTGTATGTCGCGGAGAACCTAACGGGTAACCGGGGCTCCGGCTCGACGTGCAGGAGAAGGAACGGGGTGGTTTTTAGTCAATAAAAGTCTGACACTCCCTTCCGCCTCACCCAGGCGGGAGCAGTCATTCGATGATTTTCCCCCCTTAAAAAAATAAAAAAAGAATAAAAAAAAAGTGTCATGTGTATGTGAACTTGTATGTTTGTAAACGCACCCACGACACAGGAGAAAATCCTATTGAGGGGCAACGTTTTTAAAGAAAAAATAAATAATAATAATAAAAGGAGCCGAGCATTGTGTGAAACCGTGCGAGAGTCTTGGCGAGAGCATTTAGTAATTTACAAATAGTTACGTTAAAACACACACATTTTTTATAACAGAGGTTAAAAACATAAACACACAGCATATCGCGAAACTTAAGTGGGAGTGGGCTGGTCACGTTGCACGCAAACAGGGTTCGTGGTGCAAAGCCGTGATGGAGTGGAGACCGTGGGGCGAAAAACGCCCACAAGGAAGACCCCAGATGCGTTGGTACGATGACATCAAACGAACAGCTGGCACGAAATGGATAGAAACTGCTCAAGACCGAAAGAGATGGCAGAAACTGAAGGTACACCCTAAGGGTAGAAAAAGGCTAAAGAGGAAAGAGGAAAAACATAAAACTGTAGAAGTGAGCATACTACATACATAACATAGGTAACATTGTAAATATTTAAAAAATAAATAGTAATGTAATGGCGGGTAATGTTATTAAATAGACACCGAAAAGACTGCCTCGATGGCCGAGTGGTTGCAAGTGCGACTACCGGGCTAAAAAAAAAACTCAGTGGTAGCACGGAGTCTGGAAATGTGCCCGGTATATAGCAATAGGCTCATCCCCTATAACTTACATGGGACTCATAACATAAATAGTGAAAAGTGGGTGTTACTTCTGTGTGCACCTCTGCCTACGCCTTCAGGGATAAAAGGCGTGATGTTATGTATGTATGTAAAATGCTTTTCTGTCTGTCTGTCTTGTCTGTCTGTTTGTATGTTCACGCATCACTCAAAAACTACAGGTACAATTACGATTAAACTTGCTATGATTATACTTTAGTCTCCTATGCACAAGACTGGGTACTTTTATCTTGAAAAAGTATATATATCTTAATCCCTAGACACAGTTACTGTAAAGTTTGTCAAATGTTTGGTTGCCCGCTGTGGACTTTACGCTGTAATAGAGATGATGACAGGGTATGAAAATTAAAAATCTAATTAGTCCGTAAGTTAGGTAATGAAAAAGTATTAGACACGTATTTTTTTATTTTGTCGTACCTATCTTAAATATATAGGTACATTTTTTTAAGGTGTAAATATTTTAGTTTTAAATTATTTATATTAATATAATCTCATAATATCTATAAATGTAATAGCGTGCAAATATGGAAGTATTAGTATTAATTCTTAGATAAAACGAATCAAAGTTTAGGAGTGAGGTTAAAACGTCATTTCTACGTATAAATTGTACATAGAAGTGACGTCACGCGACATTTCAAATCAATATATCGTCGAAAGTATTCGTTTCTGTAAGAAAAGAAAAAATACGTGTCTAATGATTTAAAATAATCTACCAGACGGAGATTAAAATAAAAATTAGGCATCTACCCTATTTTAGGACCGATGCTTCAAATTAGCTTAAACCGATATTATAAACATGGAAATTTGTGACTTTGTGTTTGTTGCGCAGTCACATCAAAACGGCTGAAGGGACCGGGATGAAATTTGGTACAGAGGTAGATGATGGTCTGAAGGCTAGGCAATACATATAGGCTTTTTACCCTTATAACTTTTAAAAATCACTTATTTTTGACCACCATCTTTTTTAAGGGCTGTTTATTCATACACTAAGGACCGATTTTTCCATAACCAGATAAATTTTAACTCAGGAATAACTTTAAATATTTGACAATTCTTTCATACTAGAAACTGTCAACTATCAATTTTATTCTACAGTTAAGAATTAACTGTTGATTGAAAAATCGACCCTAAAACCTCCTAATTGTAACAAACGATTTTCTGAAAACCGCATTCAAATCGCGAGACAATCGCGAGACAATCATGCAAAAAATACAAACATATAATACACTAGCTACTTCCGCGCGGTTTCACTCGCTCTGCTCGGCGCTTATAAATCGTAGCGTGATGTTTTATAGCCTATAGCCTTCCTCGATAAATGGGCTATCCAACACAGAAAGAATTTTTTAAATCGGACCCGTAGTTTCGGAGATTAGCGCGTTCAAACAAACAAACTCTTCTAGACTAAGATATAAGATACAGGTCGAAATGAGGAACCTCTTCTTTTTTGAAATTAGGGGAGGAGAAAAAATGGATTATAGGTAGGTACTCACCACAAAAAACGTCAGGATTCCCAGCATGTTTCCTTAGGTCCTCTCCTCCCTTTCGCCTAAGACCTACTGCCTACCAGGTGTATAAAACAATTCCATCTAGATCAAATTTAGCTGCTAAATTAATCGTTAGGTCTGATTGTGAATTTTTATTGTTTTGAGTGCTAATTGATCGTTTGTGGTGCTCCTAATTGATTGTTAGAACATGTTGAATGAGCTGAATGGGTAGCTACAATGATATTGTAAATAATAATAATAAAATAAAAACTGCGTTTAAAAAACCGACTTCAAAAACCAAAAACTAATAACAAACAAAAAGTCAATACTAAAAAGCAAAAAATAACTATTATTAGTACTGATAGGTTACCCACCCACTGATAGGTTAGAAGTCGGTGCCATAAGTTCCATACAAAATTATTCATTAAAACCTTAATAGGTATCTAATTCACAATTTTGTGGACATTAAGTTATATCATTATGATATGAGCTTATGGCACCGACTTCTAACCTATCAGTGGGTGGGTAACCTATCAGTACTAATAATAGTTATTTTTTGCTTTTTAGTATTGACTTTTTGTTTGTTATTAGTTTTTGGTTTTTGAAGTCGGTTTTTTAAACGCAGTTTTTATTTTATTATTTTACCATTTTCAGTGTAAAGCTACATATACCCGTTTTGTTACTTATAATATACATAGGTGCAAAGTCCTCATCAATACAAATTAATCAAGCCCAAACTCAAGGTAGTTACTGTATACCGTTGAGGAGTTCCCTTAACAATTACACTTCTTCATCATCAGACCCTTAATGACAGCCCCACTCTATCTAGGTGTAAAGTCCTCATCAATACAAATTAATCAAGCCCAAACACAAGGTAGTTAATATAAACCGCTGAGGAGTTCCCTCGACTGTCTGTCGACTCCATCATCAGGTCGACTTCAGACCCTTATCAAATTGTAGTGTTTAAAATTCGTAATTGAAAAACATAATAGACGCATTACTCCCCCATAGAATTTTCGAAAGTTCCCCTCGGTTTCCCTAGGATCCCATCATCAGATCCTGACTTCATGGAAATGGGACCATCTCGGGAGTATACCCTTTCAAACAAAACAAAAATTTTCGAAATCGGTCCACAAACGGCGGAGTACTGCGCGAACAAACAAAAAAAAAAAAAAAAAAAAACAATCAGCCGAACATAGTACCTCCTCCTTTTTTTGAAGTCGGTAAAAAGAGGAAGATATCGCACTGGCACGCAAAAATTGTTGCGAACGAATTCAGACAATTGTCGTAATTTGTAAATAGCTATCTCTTTCTGTAGGTACCATACTTTCCGTATTATCTGTCGCACGTAGTTGAAAATGACATTTAAGTACATTTGTAATAAGAACGCAACAATTTTTGGACGCCGCTTAGTATGAACGTAGCGTATCTTCTTTATAATATCATTGGGTAGCTATGTGTAGTGTGTACCTTATGTATGCGGGTTCGATATCTCTGGGTCAGAGCCGTATTATCCCTGAAGGTGCTGTTCATCAACAGCCTATAAATGCCCACTGCTGAGCAAAGCCTCTTCTCACACGGAGAAGGTTTGAGCATTAATCACAACGCTTGCTCAGTGCAGGTTGGCGATTACAAACTTATAATTAGAAATTATAAGCTCAGGTTTCCTCATGATGTTTTCCTTTACCGTTTGGTGTCTTGATAACCTTAGAAAGTAGATATAACTCAAGTACATAAGGCCGAAATAAGGCTTATTTATTAATTCACATTTTTGCGTTGCGACGACGCATCGCAAAAATGTGCGAGCTCCCTCTACGCATCGCAAGAACATGCGAATTGATTCGCATCGCGCATCATAATCTTATCTTCCCAAAATAATCTTTGTTTCTTTTTTCCTGTATCTCCTAAGCAATAACAGAAGTGCACACATCTTTTTACGATCCATGTCACGACCTAGTTTTCAATTTAAAATACGTTTAGTACGGTTGACGGTCGTCGAAGGAATGGTCACCCTGGGAGACGCCTTGTCGCACGAAATCGCATCGCAGCAATTCGCATCGTAACTTTTTGCGTTGCGAATTCGCATCACATCGCAGTTTGTGTACGAGCCTTAAGATGTAACAATTACATTAGTAAAAGTTGTGTTACAATAAAAGCAATGTTGAAAATAAAACACGAACATTTTTTACAATATTTACTTTCAATTTCAATTAAATAGATTTCTTTCTTAACGTTCAATAAATTAATAACTCTATATTATTATAGCCAAACTTCAATACGTATATCGATGTTAAAATAGGAGCTTGAGCTTACCATACAGAAGTAGTATTTTCATATGAATTAGTACCTAGTCTAAAGAAAAGATCTAAGGACTATTATATATCACCGGGACACCATGGTGACGCAACTAGTCAAAATGTATACAGCTCTAAAGAGAGTAACTCTCGTAGTGTCGGCTTGAATGTGTAACCAGTCTGGCGGCGTGGCCAGCGTGGACACCAGCACAGAGTGTTACTGGTCGCTCGTCCGCGCTGGTCACGCCACCACTAATTACTAGCCGCTGTGGTACTCTCTGCCGCCAGTCCCGCCGTTACAATGGCGCAATTGGTTGTACCGCCATGGTATCTTGGTGAAATATAGTCCGAAATGAAAAGAGCAGGTTGTTAGCCATGTGATTAGGGTATAATACATTTGTCGCCATCCGTATTCATAAACGAAGAAGTGGTCTAAGGGCTAATTGCAGTACTCAGAAACATTTTATGATTACTTAAACAATTCCTTAGCAATCATTTTGCTCTAAAAACAATTGTTAAAGACTGGGTTGAGTAGCCATTAAAGGATTTTAAGTATTTTTCATGGGACAAGCCGGTAAACGAGCAAATGGATCACCTGATGGTAAGCAATCGGCGTCACTGAAACACCAGAGGCGTTACAAGTGCGTTACTGGCCTTTTGCAAATTAAGAATTCAGGGATTGGGGAGATGAGGGCAGGGGAAGATTAGGGAAGGGGGGAGATAGTGGGGCCTCCGGTGACCTCACACACACGATGAAACACAACGCAAACGTTGTTTCACATCGATTTTCTGCTCGGCCGTGGTATCACTCCGATCGAGCCAGGCCATTCCTGTCGACGCATGGCTGTCCCACTTTGGAAAGGTAAGGCGCTAAGGCATTATAAGCCTAGTTGGCAGTACCCACTACGCTAAAATTAATCAGATAGCGACTAATTAGTAGGTCTCTCTCGTCTGCCCAAAAACCGTCTTAAAACCGCACTTCACTAAACTACTAAATATTAAGCCTTGTTCACACTCCGCTAATATTTTAGTCGAGTTTCGAATATTTAGCAGATCTCTTTCACTTCCATTTTGAGACAAAAGCGAGAGAGGACTACTGAATATTTGCTACTCGACTAAATTACTAGCGTAGTGCAAACAAGGCATCAGGTATTCAGACACATTTAGTTACTAAATTACTCATTATTCGACTAAAATACTACTCAAACTAGCATAGCACTTCGTTTCAACTGGAATAGAAGCGAGGAAGAACTATAAATAGTTACTACTCGACTAAAATTCTAGCATAATACGAACAAAGCATAAAGGACATAATGACAGAGATTAGGCAACAGCATTCTCTGATAAACCTGAACCTTTATAGACTGTGATCGCCAAATCAAACGCCGCAAATGGGGATTGACTACATTCTCCAAAAAAGTTGCGACCACATTCCTAAACAAATTATGGAATGGAAAAGGAAGCGTGGCCGTTCTTGGTAAACCTGGTGGCGCAGAACGAGATGGAGCGGAAAGGTCATGACCATTCGAGATGTAGACCTTTCTGGACGCCCTCTGCCCCACCAGGGGAACATAGGACTTTAAGTAAGTCAAGATATCCTGTGTAAAGGATGATGGGATGCAAACTTGTAGCTACTAATAGATAGTATCCATTCTTAGCTTTAACTCAAAACAAGAACGTTAGATCACCGAAGTAGACAATTTCAAACCGAAAGATGGGTAATCGTATCGGTTTATAATAATTAAACTCCATTTTACACGTCCTCATTTCGACAAAAAGACGAAAATAGCATTTTTATACAACTATTGTTTGCAACAAAGCTCGCGGCCTGTCTGATGATAGGGGGACACCGTAGCCAAGTACACCTGCGAGGCTGCGACACCAGAGGTAGCACAAATACCTACGTCGTGGACAATTGTCCTAAATTTAGGAGAATATTCAACTTGACCTTGAACCAAATATCAAACTGCTCTTCATACAGGGGCAAGGATGTGAAGGAATCTAAAAGATTATGAAAGGTTGGATCATAAAAAAGATGCTTACTTGTCACCTCTGTCCTGTAGCATCTGCTTCTAATAACCTTTAACCCTCAATGTCAAAATGGAATCCCCAAAAGTAGTATTACCAAGACCAGACGAACGAGAGTTAGATGAAACTATAAGTAATAGTAATAAGCAATTGTAAAAGATTAACAAAGAATATCGTATACCTAATCTTAGTCGCGGAGAACCTAATGGGATACCGGGGCTCCGGCTCGAAGCGCAGGAGAAGGAACGGTTTTTAGTCAATAAGAGTCTGACACTCCCTCCCGCCCCTCCCAGGCGGGAGCAGGCATTCGATGATTATCCCCCCTTAAAAAAACCTAATCTTGCAGGTATGTTAGCGCCTTTTTTATTGCATAAGCCGGTAAACGAGCAGACGGATCGCCTGATGGTAAGCAATCAGCGTCGCCCATGATCACCTAGAACACTAGAGGCGTTACAAGTGCGTTACCGGCTTTTTGGGAATTAGGAATTTGAGGATTGTGAGATTCAGGGTTAATTGGGTCCGGGTAACCTCACTCACACGACGATACACAACGCAAGCGTTGTTTCACGTCGCTTTTCTGCGAGGCCGTGGTATCACTCCGGTCCGGCCCATTCATGCCGAAGTATGGCTCTTCTACACTTAAATGACTAGATGAAACTGCCTTTTGGACTGAAGAAGCTAATTAGATATTTCAAAAGGTTACCAAAACATTCAAAAATATCACGGTAAGGTTCGTAAGCTCAAGTTCGTATAACAAACAACTCCTAATAAAAAATAATGCTGACAGTTCTGCAAGCTGTTCAAAATACTAAAATTCAGATTGACAACAATTAATAAATAGCTTAGATTTCAAATTTACATTTAGATTATCTATTGTGGACGTGCACGGGAACTTTATTAAATAAAAATTCATTTATATTATCGTGAGACATAGTAAATTAATTATTACATTTAGACTTACGTAACTGTTTTGACGAGGAACTCGACTAGTTTCAGCATCGCGTCTCTCGAAATGATGCTCATCAATATAAGCCTCTAGCATGGCTTGAAACTAGTCGAGTTCTTCGTCAAACAGTTACGTAAGCCGAAACCATAATAATAATTAAAAATTCCAATATAAGTAAAGATTTTATACGAGTTAGCAATAACAATTAGCCATGGACAAGTACCATATCTTACAACCGATAATCGTTGAGGTGTACGTGTTCTGGTATGAATCAAGCCTGATCAAAAGTAATGTAGGACACCCCTTCGTATAGGTGAAGTTACGATATCCTCAAAGTGTGTTTCAGTGGATACAAAGAGCTGATAATGGAGCTCAGAAGCCTGATATGCTAAAGGGGATCTTCTACGTCTTTTTCTGCCAAAATGAATTAATGTTATTGAACTCAAAATCTGTGGATAAGGATCAACTTTTTGTCCATAGAAAATGTCAAAAATCGATCCAAATCCATAGGTTTTAAGATTGAGATGGTTGTAGACGGTCGTGTGATTAAGTACCACGCCCATTGCCACTTCAGCTTGCTAATCCGCTGCGCTATATTAAAGACTTTTGTCCATTTGCAGATTAGATTAAAACTAAATACTATTTAAACTAAGTTACCGTGCATGTTCCACAGATTATTAACATATTTTTTTGATTTTCAGTATTATCAGTAAAGTTTCTACGTCGTGGAGATGTTATGTCCTTGGTAGTCAGCATCTGTCTCTTCGGGAGGGTTTGCGAGTTGGACCCTCGTGGTCAAAGGGTCACGCCAGTCTAAAATACTGGGTTCACCCGATTCTGGTTCTGAAAGACGAATTTTGCTGTAGTATGGGTAATTCATTAACACATTCACTGCGGCAGCGTTAAATCTAAACTTTCTACTAGTGCGATACGAGACAAATGCTGCCCGTATCCATGTTTCCTGATATGCGTTACGGCTTCTATTTTGCCATACCAGACCCTGACTTTCAAAGCCTATAAAGACGTGAAAACCGCCTATATCAATGGTTTTTATCAACAAATCGATAGACTATATCCTTGTATATACCTAGCTGCAGTCGCCCTGGGTTCTCTGTTATACCTTGAAAGATACAGAGATTTTTCAAGGGAACTTAGATAAATCGCCCCCGCACAGTACGCAAAACAAGGACAACGAGCTACCGCACTGGCTGAGAATCAAATACGGCCAAATACTTGCCGTAACGCAGTGAATGTGTTAACTTAAAGTGAAAGACCTGCCATATACGGACCACTTGAAGCAGTCAGGATTGTCTGCTTCAAGCTGCAATTGCATAGTGAACTACAGACTTCTATGTACACATATACCTACAGGGTAATTTGTAATTCGACCACAATCTCGTATGGGGTATAGAACAAATCATTTCCAACATATTCGTCGGACAAAAGGATTTTTTTTTTAAGGGGGGAAATCATCGAATCTCTGCTCCCGCCTGGGTGAGGCGGAAGGGAGTGTCAGACTCTTACTGACTAAAAACCATCCCGTTCCTTCTCCTGCACGTCGAGCCGGAGCCCCGGTTACCCGTTAGGTTCTCCGCGACGTCGGACAAAAGGATAGGTGGAAATGAACAGTTATTAAAATATTTAACTTTGTTCATTTCAAAGTGACGTCCGCGCTAACTCTAAAGCTGAATAAAATGAAACGTTTGGCCCTGGACCTAATTTTCTTTTTACAATATCTTACTTTATTAGTTTATTTACCAGTTCTAATAATCAAATACACAATAATAATATTATTTTAGACGGAATCATCCCAAACTCAATATTAGAATTTTTTTCAATTTCAGTTTGACTCAGAAATATGCTTCTCTAAAATAAAAATTTACTATGACACTTGTTGTGCACTTTTACAGATTATGGTCAAATCACATCACAAATCACTCTGTATACAGACTGCTGCAGACAGTTGCAACTGGGTTGGGCGGTTGACATTGCAATATTTTAGCCCCTAATGTAATTAAGCTTTAATATTAAATTGCACTCAAGAACAGAAGTTTTTGCGTTACTTAGATGGCGCTAGTGAGCTCCAAAGTCATGTCTCATCATGCGATCAAGCAATCGCCAGTATTCGCTGACTGCTCGAGCTGTCGACTACTCCTGTACCCTTCCTCTTCAAAATCCATGATGCTACTAATTAATTAACATTGAAAATTGCTCGGCCAGTTGAACTAACTACGACTACGAGAGATGACGACCAAAATTTTTGTCTCATAGCAATACGGCCAAAACCGCCTCAAATCGATAGATACGATTATCCTGAACTCGAAAATACCAATATCAGACATTTTCCGCGTAGCGTTTGATCTGACTACAAAAACACCAAACAAAAAAATGTCTCATAGCAATACGTCTGAAAACCTTTTTTATTAGTAAATTTTGGTTATTTTATGCGAACAAAACAATTTTCAGACGGAAATGTGAACGCATTAAATAATGAGACCGTTTTGAAAATGTTAACAAATTTTACCGATCGGTATCATGACAATATGTCTGAAAATTGTTGGACATGATAAAATAAGTTGTCCACATGTGTAAAAAATTTATATCAGACAAAAATAAGTGTAGCACCTTCTCTATCAGACAACTTTTCGATACTCAGATATTTTTGACACAGCAGAAATGGCCTCCCACGCAGTTGCTACACTTTCGACCGTTACTACACACCTAGTCGGGTTCAGAATCATACAATCTAACGATTTTATAGGGTTTTTGCCGTATTGCTATGAGACATGGTTTTGGTCGTCATCTCTCGTACTACTATAGACTCTGTCTGCAAGAGTCGTCCGTGTATGTTTATCACCGGGTAACTGCTGAAGCAGTCCTTGTATGGCAGGCTTAAGCAATGGGAATAGGAGTTGCAGGTTGAGAACCAAACTAAGTATCTACTAACGCTAAACTACCGGCTATTCTATGGTTCTTTTGTCCTTCTCTCTTCTTTAATAGTCAAAGATTGACAACTAAAGAAGATAGAGTTTTAGCATAAGACATAACAGAACACCAGCAGCTGTAACCAAATGCCACTTAACGCTTGTCTATTTGTAAAGTAGAAAACTAAATTTTAACACTTGTTAGTGTCATCTCCATACATTTAGTTATGTACTCTCTCTGTAGACAAGAGCTAAAGTGGCGTTTGGTTAAAGGCACAGTTTACAGAAAACCGGTGTAAAATAATGCTGCGTTGTGTTTAGCCTCTGCAGTGAAGATACCGGAGGCTCAATTTCCCAAAAAGACGGCAAACTTTGAACTTGTAACTCATTAGAGTCACGCATTATTCATTGACATTTGATAATGTTTAGTATGGAAGAACTGTCAAATATTGAAAGTTGATTAAATTCCTCGATTAAAATTTATCTGAGCATTGAAAAATTGGGCCTACGTGTTTCTGGTGTCCATGGACGGCGGTTACTGTTTACGGGCGCCGCACATGCTCACGACACTGCGTCAATCTCGTTTTGGCTTTGGTTGTTATGTTCGCGACCATTTTTCTTTATTTTCGTTTACGATAACAGACACTCTGACTTATGTACGACTCGGCGGACATACATACACCCACCAATGTCAAAGCGAATTTGGCGCAGTCGCAAACTAGTGTGAGTGTGAACATGTGCTGCGGCCCTTACCACCAGGTGATCCGTCTGTTCATTTACCAAACTACTATACTAAGTTGAATTACTTGACTAGTAATTATTTAACGCCCGAATATTGAAAGGCTACTCAATTAGAACTTGTACTTAAGTATCGTGCCGTCTCTATCATTTTACAAAGAATGTGCAGTGATAGAACTATACTTAAATTGAGTCGTTTCAATATTCGGGCATATATGTCTAATACTGTTCATATGTACGGCAGAACTAAAGAAATAGATTTTTGATTCAAAACATGCTGCTTTTTCTAAATCCTTAAGCTTAGCAAAGATGTTAAACCCCCTTTTCTATACATTTATGTAAGTATCATCCCTGTTGTAGAAAAATATTGACCCTTTTAGAAGTACCCTTTTTTGAGGGGGGATAAATCAAGTCACGACTTTGTCCCGCCTTGGGCGAGAGTGTCAGACTCTTACTGACTAAAAACCACCCCGTTCCTACTCTTAATATCGGAGCCACGGTAACCTGTATGGTTGTCCGCAGCTCCAGGGTTTTAGAAGTCTTCTTGAAGACAAACTTTTGTTCTAAAAGTGCCTTACTGTAATAAAAAACTTTGTAAAGAAAAGAGATGCGTACTCCGATTAGTCCGAGTCGGGACTGGGGTGGGATGGGGAGCTTTTCGCTTATCTTTCCTTTTGCGCATGCCAGGGTGAATCGGTGGCGCATGCATCGGAGACCGACACTCCTCACAGGCATGGTCTTCGTCATCTAACAGCCATTTTGTAAAAAACGTTAGTTTTGTATTTATTTAAATTAAAAATGATGGCAAGTTGTGAATAAGTGGACGTCATTTCTTGATATTTAAGCAATTGGCTACTTTCCTAAATTTTATTTTAATGTCCGTCTGGTAGATTATTTTAAAACATTAAACACGTATTTACGATGACGATACAGTGGAGCCCCGGTAATCCGGCCCCTGGCTAATCCGGCACCCCCTATAATCCGACATCGTTTATTACATACATGTATTTGTGCTCGACGCTTTTTTTTTTTTTTTTTTTTTAGGGTATTGTTTTGATTCTGATTGATTAGTTTTAAATTGATTCATAAAGTTTAATTATTTTAGTACATGTGTTTATTTTAGTTCTTTGTACACTTGTCTTGTTTAATTTACTAAATTTAACATACACAACGAAGTATGATTTGAAATCTTATCATCATTGGATCTTTAATTTGCCGGATTACAAGGTACTCCTTTGTAAAAAAATTCTGACTATCGGGTCTTAGGCAGTACTCTATAATCCGACAAATTCGATAGTTCGACACTGCCCTGCAAAATGTTTGTCGAACTGTATATTGATTTGAAATATCGTGTGACGTCATAGCGTGCAACAATATGTAGCACGTTGTGACGTAACTGCCTCCCACTCCTAAACTTAACTCCATTTTATCTAAGTATTGCAACTTTATACGAGAAAATAAAAATACGTGTCTAATATTTTTTCATTATCTAACTGACGGACTAATTAGATTTTTAATATTCTTACCCTGGAAACTACCCAATTATTAATTTTCTTTTATACTTAATAGAGAATAAAGTCCCATTGCTGAACAAAAGGCTTATACCACTAGAAGAAAGAAGGTATGAGGCCAATCACCACCAGTTCAAATCTACTGCGGTTTTTCTTTGTTTCGAGTATTGATCAGCATGCTTGCTCAAAGCGGATTGGGAATTTTATACTTAATTTAGTACTACACGTCCTACAGTTAGATATAAGATAACATAATAGCAGTCTGATAGCCTGATAGATATTAATTGCTTCATTGGCCGATTGGTCGCAAGTGCGACTGCCGGGCAAGGGGTCTCGGGTTCGATTTCCAGGTCAGGCAAAGTATTGCTGGGTTTTTCAAAAAATTCACAGTATTAACACGGTGTCTGGAACTGTGCCCGGTATGTGGCAATAGGTTCACCCCCTATTACATGGGACTCATAACATAAATAGTGAAAAGTGGGTGTTACATTGTACAGTGGCATAATGTACACCTTTGCCTACCCCTTCGGGCATAAAGGGGTTATGATATGTTCAGTCTGATAGCTACCAAAGTAACCAGTAGCGACTAACCAGATTTTGCAAATAAACTAGAAGATTTTGTGGTGTCATTGTGTCTTTCCATGATCTGCCCGCATCCAGTACACCGTTTGGTACGAGCTCTGGCTTTCCGCCGCAGTCTGTCCATCGGGAGCGGAATGACACCATTGCAGGCCAATGTTGACCCCCCAACTGTAGACCGAAAGAAGCCAATGTAAAGGATGCGGGCGAACTTACATTAATTACAAAAAGGCGTATTATTATGGAGTCACAATAATAATATTCAATATTTCCTATTCTCCATTGAGGGGTTATTTTAAGGGGGGAAAATCATCGAATGACTTCTCCCGCCTGGGTGAGGCGGGGGGGAGTGTCAGACTCTTAGGGCCGAAAGAGAAGAGAGTTTGCGTTGAGTCTTTAAGTCGCGTTCCGCGCGCGCCTTAAGGAGCCATCAGACCACCACAGATGGGGCCCAACAGGGCCGATGCCGATTCGGAATCGCGGAGAACCTAGCAGGTAACCGGGGCTCCTCTCCGGCTCGACGTGCAGGAGAAGGAACGGGGTGGTTTTTAGTCAGTAAGAGTCTGACACTCCCTCCCGCCTCACCCAGGCGGGAGCAGTCATTTGATGATTTTATCCCTTAAAAAAAAAAGAAAAAAAGGGTAACCAGTTCGTCGTGATTTTTTATTGTGAATAGACGTGTCTCTACCATGGACCAGCGTGAAAAGCTTATTGCTTATTTGTTATTAAGAAGACATTACTCTGCTAAGCTGGAACGAGCGCTGCGTTGCGGCGTCGCAACGCCGCAACACAAACTGCCGATTTTAGCGTTGCGACGCGACGCGGTTATGTGTTTCGCCCTTCGAGCCGGAGCATCGGCAACCCGTTAAGTCCTCCGCGGCCCATTGAGGGGCTAGGCAGGAATGTTAATGTGTTAACTGAACACTAATTCAAATTATGTTTTTAAATCAGTCCGTTTTTGTTTTTTTTTTAATACTAATAGGTCAACGTTTGGCCACCATCTCGCCTGATGATAAGCGATGATGTGGCCAACGATGGAGCACGCCTACCTATGAGCAACCTGTTCATTTGGGACTTGAAGACGCTCAAGTCAAATTTGACGGGAAACACAGCCTCTGGCAAGGAATTCCATTCCTTAGCGGTTCGCATGAGGAAGCTTGACGCGAAACGATTGAAAAAAGACTTGACAAAGATTGAGCAGCACAATCTGGTAAACTACAAATTTTTGCACTGCGATCTCCAAGTGTAGCTCGCCACCAGAACCAGACCCGAGCGTACGGCGACCTGAGCGCACCTCAAACGGCCATCAAACCACCACGGATGGGGCCCAATAGGACTAATGCCGATACGGAAGTGTGGAGAACCTAACGGGTTACCGGGGCTCCGGCTCGAAGTGCAGGAGTAGGAACGGGGTGGTTTTTAGTCAGTAAGAGTCTGACACTCCCCCCGCCTCACCCGGGCGGGAGAAGTCATTTGATGATTATCTCCCCTTAAAAAAAGTGTAGTTCAAAAATGGACTGTTGTAGGCTGGTGATGTTGAAGTAAGAATTAAAAAATGTGCTACTTGAAGGTACTACTCCACATACTGTGTGGTACAGTAGAACATATTCGTCATTCCCTCCATCCATCCTAGTCTACCCCTGGGGCATGGGTGGGGTCTTGTATCTCCTATGAATCCTGGCCTACTCTTTTATAAATTGATTTCCCTCCATCCATCTTAGTCTACCCCTGGGACGTGTAATATCCTGGCCTATTCTTTCATAAATTGATTTTACAACTAAATTTTAGTATTTTTTCAGCAAATTTTTAAGAAATAAGTATGCTGTTTGACGCTAAAAAAATGTGACTTCACAATACACAATCTCGTACAAAATTCATAGAAAACTGTCGTTTTAGATAGTTTGAAAAAAGTATTGAAATTGACTAATAATAATTGGCAAGTATACAATTTCCTATTGGACGAAAAACGAGAGGTGCACACTAGTGCCAACTGGTGAACAACAATATTGTAACACCCATTGTATATTTAAGATATTTCTTTGCTATTAATCCTGGTTACATATGAACAGTAAAGCTACGGATATATAATATTAATTAAATTGTAACTATCCCACTCTTTTCCACCACAGAATAAAAAAAAATCTTACCTAAACTTCGAAGCAATTCAGCGTCCAGCATATGCCAATTTGTCTCGTCGCTCATCCGTCGAGAGATGGTCATCCTCTTAGCGTACTGTGGCATGGTCGTCAACAGATACTGGTTGTCACAGGCCGCTCCATACACATGGTTCAGCAGCTTCAGTTGCTGCATAGTAATTTGTTTAGTCAACGACGCTATTCTAGGCCCGAGCATATTATTATTATTGTATCAAAATACTTAAAATGAAATAAAAATAAAACGTAAGCTTTAAAACGCTCCGTTCGTAACAACCGAGGAAAAAAATCTGACAGTTCGGTTTTCAAATATACTTGACAGTTCTGAACGTTTTTTTGCGCGCCAAATTTTTTTGTAGCTGTTATAGTTAATCAGAGGTTATTGAATTTAAAACGTAATTGTTTACCTGTTGCAATCTCAGCATGATTCCAGATTATAAAATCTAAGAGTTCTAAACTGAAAATAATTTGTTAGCTTTCGTCAGGGGGTCAAAATGCGACTATCTTTGGTTATAATTTAAAAGGAGATTCGCCAACAACGGCACGTCACTTACTGACGGAAAAACGATTGAGAATCGAAATTCAAATATTCTATTTTTCATAATGAACTTGATAGCCAGTGTCAGACGAATATGAAGAAGTAGTTGGTATTATATTTAAAAAGTTAAATGTTTTATTCTCTTATTTGACTCTGTGGTGCATCAGCCTTCTCCTCCTCCAACCAATCTCCAACAAGAAAACCAGTCAAGTAATCGGACTCTTCTACGGAGGTCCCATACTCCCGTACAAAGGTATTCTAATAAAATGTCATTGATCGCCTACATTCAGCCCAAGAATAAAAACCATAAATAAATACTTCGAGAAATATTGATAAAAAATTACAACAATCCAACACTTAGGTATACACGATGTACGTCCAGTGGACTGAGGCATAGTATAAAGAAATCTTTATACTAACTATGACTGAGGCTACGCAGCGAAGTTAGTTGAATAATAATTTCCTTAATTTTTTTTTTAAATTGTTTGTTTCTTTACTACCTTTCTATGCATTTCTAGGCAACTGTAACTTGTCTGTTGTCAAAGGTGTGCAGTGTCCAGTTACAATCAGGTCATCAGTGATTTGTCTAAAAACTATATTTCTGGCTTAGATATCGATTGTAGCATTGTAGATCACGTCACAAGTACGTACCTACTCTTTAAAAAAATAATTCAATATACAGTTTTGACTTTCTTACGATTTTACTATACATATATAGATGTATAGATTAGTTTAGTAGAACCGCATAAATTCAATCAGATAAACCTCATATTGTTAAACAGTTGATATTGTAACAGGACAATTACATTGATTAATTGCAGTCACCCTCGAATTGATTTGGCGACGATGTCCTTACCCACATTAGATAGCATAAACAAGTTAACATTAAACATGATCTAAAAAAACCTCAAAAATATCCAGTAATTTTGTAAATAAAAGCTCACGAAAGTTCTTAAGAACTTAAAAATATTAATAAAAAAAGTTAAAGGATGAATAAAACTATTGTCATAACCTGTCCGCCATTGACATGTATAAAATTAAGATGGCGGATCGCGCGCCATGCACATAAAATAAACAACGTATGTTGGTCCGCGGCCAGTACGCGCCGAGTTGACCGCCGCGCCTAACGACCTTGTGTTACAAGGAAAATTAGCTAAGAAATACAAAAAACCGGCTTCCTAGAACTATTTGTGTTTCGTTTTTGTTTAATATTATGTTATAATAGTGCAACGTTTTGATTTTTCGAAGAATATTATCTTGGACATAAAGGTTGGTAACTTTTTTTATTAGTTTAAAAGTTTTTTTTTTAATATCCTGTCCTGGATTGCGGGAGATAACTTTTTGTTTTGTTTTCTCATTTAAATATTATGTTATTTGGCTATATTTCTCTTAAAATATTCCAAAAAACTAGTTTTTCTTCTCGTAATCATAAAACAAAAAAACTTAAAGCGTCATTATTAAAGTTTTCTTTATACCTTCAGTGAATGACAATCAAATTATAATTTTTAGAGCTTAAAAAATGTGAAAATATCGTAATTAATCGGCATAAAACGTCTAAAAAACTGACTATAACTTTTTAAACTTTGTAGTAATAGATAAACCTATATTATTATCTAGATAGAACGCGAAAAATATCTAAATTCTTAGATCCGTGTGTAAAAAGTGTTACTACGGCTAAATTTCATTCGTAGTGTGTTCGACACAAACGATTTATTTATGAGCTTGTTAACCAAACAACGAGTTCGATGTTTTTGTAAATCGTTCGAATAATGGTCATAATCAATGATTATACGGTTACAGAGGTTATCGTCAATTTCACATTAAGTATATTATTACATTTATTTGTAGGTATTTTAAATCAGACTTTCTTTACGCAATTTTTTTTTACTTTAGCTTTAGTCGATTTTTTTATAATTTTTTTGTTTCCCACGATTTAATGATAAGTTTGAGTGTTAAGCTTGAGGTCGTATACGTCGAGTTCGATGCCCGGGTCAGCAATAATGTTATTCAGCTTTGCGATTTTACTATGTGTTGTCAGACGATATTGGTGATCATCCCTAAAGAGACTGGGCAGCAACGCTCTCTGATGAACCTGAATCTTTTAAAACTGCAATAGCTGACATGCCCGCCAAGCACAGATACTGTCAAAGTCAAAGTCAAAATCATTTATTCCAATTAGACCAGAAAGGCACTATTGAATGTCAACAAAAAAAATTAAAAGTAATTAGCTATTTGCTCATTCCAAGGTGTAGATTCCTATGGAGAAGAACGAGCAAGAAACTCCATTGGTTACTCTTTTTCAATCAGGTTCACAATACAATTATCTTGTTACTGAATGCCAAACCTCTCCTTATAGAAGAGACTTTTAGTGATGTTATTTTTTTTAATAGATAACTAGCGTCTGCCAGTGGCGTCGTCCACATTCCAGTGGGTAATAAAGTGTCCTATGTGTTATTCCACACCATAATCTATAGCCCAATTCCAACTTTCATGCCAATCCCTTCAGCTGTGGTATGAAGGAGTAACATACACAGTTTTGCATCTATACATATACATGTGTCGCGGAGAACCTAACGGGTAACCGGGGCTCCAGCTCGAAGTGCAGGAGAAGGAACGGGGTGGTTTTTAGTCAGTAAGAGTCTAACACTCCCTTCCGCCTCACCCAGGCGGGAGCAGTCATTCGACGATTTTCCCCCCTTAAAAAAAATACATATACATTTATTCCCCCAAAAACAAATGTTTTGTTATGAGGGTAATACGCAGAGTATAATATAACCATAATTGTTTTGTTGTATGTCTCATACAGCCGATTCTTCCAACGCCAGATACATTTTAACACACCCCGTTTATCCCCGAAAGGGTAGGCAGAGGTGCACATCGAAAAATCTAAAATACCTCGATTATTTTTGCTTGAACTACAACAGGGTAGATGCTTAATTTTTATTTTAATGTCCGTCTGGTAGATTATTTTAAATCATTAGACACGTATTTTTTATTTTCTTACAGAAACGAATACTTTCGACGATATATTGATTTGAAATGTCGCGTGACGTCACTTCTATGTACATTTTATACGTAGAAATGATGTTTTAGCCCCCACTCCTAAACTTTGATTCGTTTTATCTAAGTATTGTTTTATTATACGACAAATTAAAAAAATACGTGTCTAATATTTTTTAATTACCTAACTTACGGACTAATTAGATTTTAATTTTCATACCCTGTCATCATCCCAATTCAACTAGAATCACCTTACTTAGCAGTCGAACTTGTGACTACTACCCAACGACAGTCAAATAAAATTAATCACATTTTTTCCTATATTATTATAATCTGTACTTCGAATTAAAATTATGTATCTATGCGCAATGACCTTAAATTATTACTAAGGGCACTTTGATATAAACTTAAGAATTATGTTAAAAAAAGTAAGAAAATGTACATTTATCATAATTACTACCTACCTTTTGTTAAGTATAAAATAAAAATTAATTTCCGTTCGTTAGTCTCACTAAAACTCCAGAACTGCTGAATCGATTTCGCTAATTTTTACCGACTTCAAAAAGAGGAGGAGGAACTACCTATGTTCAACTGATTTATTTTTTGTTTGTTCAGCGATTACTCCTACATTTGTGAACCAATTTTTTGCTTTTTAGTTTTAGTCGGTTTTTTAAACTGTCAAACACCAAGTGGTCACCGGTGACCGCAACCTATTGTTCCTTAATTGTGTCTATAAATACGGTACTCGACGAGTTAATGGTCTTGAAATGTTCTTGAAATGTTCTTGGATGTTCAGGGAAGGTTTAAACTGTCAAACACCGCGCGGTCAACGGTGCAACCTACTGTTCTTTAATTGTCGCGGAGAACCTTAACGGGTAACCGGGGCTCCGGGCTCGAAGTGCAGGAGTAGGAACGGGGTGGTTTTTAGTCAGTAAGAGTCTGACACTCCCACCCGCCTCGCCCAGGCGGGACCAGTAATTCGAAGATACTCCCCCCTTAAAAAAATTGTTCTTTAATTGTCTGTAATGACGGTACTCCAAGAGTTAAACGCGAGAAAAACAATTGTAGACGGAACGAAGTTTGCCGGTTCGGCTAGTTGATATAATTGAAAATTATTTTATTTTTTACTTGATTATTATTGAGACACCCTCGTTGGTCCTAAGTGTGATTACTAACGCTTTACTATGTCGAAGATGGTTGGCATTTTGAGGTACTCGTGGATTGTAATACATACACATAACATCACGCCTTTTATCTAGGCAGGCAGAGGTGTACATTATGCCACTGTACAATGTAACACCCACTTTTCACTATTTATGTTATGAGTCCCATGTAATAGGGGGTGAGTCTATTGTCATATACCGGGCACAATTCCAGACTCCGTGCTACTACTGATCTAATACTGTAATACGTACATAAGTAGGTAAATACCGAATATCAAGCATAGAATACTAATAACTACTTAATAACAATATTTTAATATCGATCGGGGAACTACCTACCCATATAAAACGTAAATAAACAAAAATCAGTCTTGTTGCTTTGATAATACAGTCGTTGACAAGGTCAAGTCACTCAAGTCAAAGTAAGTTTTAGTAAAAAAAAATCTAAGTAGTAGCACAGAGTCTGGAAATGTGCCCGGTACTGTTACGTTACGAATGCGATAGTTATTCGTGCTTGGCACTCGTTTTTTTATTTTACCATTATGAAAACCGAGCCTTATGAATAAATATTTTATTCTGAATACTTATTAGTATTTACTAACTACTTCCGCACAGTCCTACTGCTCGGCCCCTATTAGTCGTAGCGTGATGATAACTTATAACATTAACAGAAAAATAATTATTTAAATAGGATCAGTAGTTTCAGAGATAAACGCGTTCAAAC